TCCTGCCCCTGTCCATTGCATTAATAGCTACGTAAAGGTCTTAAGTTTATTCTTAGTTCCAGTGCCTGTGAATGCCAGGATCATTCCTGCTTTTTAACTGCTTCCTGTTAACCAATGGGGGCAACAAATTAGGTATTACATCCAAACTGGAGAGCATGGCTTGTTTCACTCCAAACAAACCATGATTATCTGAGAACAAACCCTTAGTTTAATACCATGGTTATAGATTACAGTGGTACCTCAGGTTACATACGCTTCAGGTTACATATGCTTCAGGTTACAGACTCCGCTAACCCAGAAATAGTGCTTCAGGTTAAGAACTTTGCTTCAGGATGAGAACAGAAATCGTGCTCTGGCGGCGCGGCGGCAGCAGGAGGCCCCATTAGCTAAAGTGGTGCTTCAGGTTATGAACAGTTTCAGGTTAAGTACGGACCTCCGGAACGAATTAAGTACTTAACCTGAGGTACCACTGTATAACTCTCTGAAGGCAGTTCTCTTGCATAACAGCTTCTATAGGCAGATTGACCTTAGAAACATATTTGTGATGTGAAAAACCTGTGAGTTGATGGACACACACACACACGGAGTGTCTATTTTTGTTGATGCATGAATTGAGGATGCCCAATATTTGGTAGAGACTCTCTCCACACCTCTTCTGCATCCTGGTCAGTAATACGAGGAAAAGGTCGTATTTTTGGGAATCATGCTAGTCCTGTCTCGGACTGCAAGCTGCCTTACTCCTTGAGCCAAAATTATGTGTGTATTAAACCTGAAAACCATGTCGCTAGAACACCTCATAAACTAAATCCAAAGGTAGTATGGATTCTTTAGTTTTAAATCTAGAGTTGTTATATTAGCCTGATTAAGGAACAACATTGCTATAGACTTTATAAATAAATAAATAGATTTATTTATTTATTTGATGGCTTTAAAACCCCGGCTGTTCAGTACAATTCCCAGAGTGCCTTTGTATGAGAGAGTGATATGGGCTCTTCCTCGGTTTTGCGTAGGTGTAAGAATGTCACAGAGCTACATTTTTTGAGGCTATTTGTGCCAGGTTTGTGCACTCTTTTAAATGCAAGTTTTGGCACCGTCTTTGTAAGGCTGTGGTTTAGCTGGTTTACTCCAAATGGCGTGGTTTTATCAAGGCCAGAAGGCTGAAGTACTGTATTGGTTGGTGGTGTTTGCTTCTGGAAGCCCAGAAGCATTATGAAAATTACTAAGGCTGCATAAGGACTATACCCTTTAAAGCACATTCTTTCCCTCAAAGAATTATGGGAACTGTAGTTTACATCTCACAGATTTAGAATTCCCAGCAACCCTTTAACTCCAGTGCCCAGAATTCTTTGAGGGCGAAATTGTGCTTTGAAGGTGTATTGTGGGCACAGCCCAAGGACAGGGATGCCCAAACTTTTTTCAAAGAGGGCCAGATTTGATGAAGTGAACATGCGTGAGGGCCAACCAAAGTTGTTATGCTTTTTTTAGGATTGAAGTTGTTGATTTTGGACGGTGGATGTAAGATGCTCACATTCGTAGCCATAGGACCTTTGTTTTGCGAGGCCTTCTCCGGAGGATGTTCTGTCTGGTTGAAACCTAGTTCCTCCTCTTATTCAGCAGAAAATAATATTCAGAGTCCACTGGACTCCAGCAAAACTCTACCAGAAGAAAATAACAAATTCAGACAACTGCAGGAGATGTTGGAGTAAAAATGTGAACTTAGTTCATATGATGATTAACTGTCCGATGATAAGATCATTTTGGTGCGAGGTGAGGATATATATAGCAAGAGTAATAAAAATTTAGGGGAAGTGAATTTAATTCTAAATTATATACCGGAAACGTGGAAGATTACAAGGGGTCAAAAAAATGGATTTGATTTAAATCAACCCACCCTGCTTAGCCCACAAACACAAATCATGATTTGTGATATATTGCCAGGTCAGAAATTAAGAAACTGAGATCACGATATGGATTTCAAACTGGTTTTGCGTGGTAGACAGGGAAAGCCTGTTTAACTTTTGTGCCAGTCTCTGAACTATTGTTTCTAGAAGGTCGAAGCAGGGCCTGTTTTAGCTAAAATGGCGTTGGCGGGGAGTTGACGTCAGGTGGACCTTGTAAGATTTCAGTCAGTAATAACCCCCTGCACATTTTCACTAATAATTCAAGCCGTCTTTGACAATTAATTCAACATAGTCATTCTTCTATTCCATTTATGGGAATTTGATGCTTAGCAAAACCCCACTCCTATACATACATACATATATATATATATATATATATATATATATATATATATGACAGTTATATTTCTTAAGGCAGTGGAAGTATCAAGAGAACACATCTTTCTTCCTTCTTCCGGCCTTAAGTTATTTATTGTTGTGGTGTGGCAGGTTTTTGATTTATTTCCAGGCCCGGACTTCCTGTGCTTCTGAGGCATTAGGGACTTCATGCCTTGAATTTTTTTGTAGGGTTTTTGCCCATGATCTCTTGAAACGCCAGCCAAACTGCGAGCAAGCTTTAACAAACAGAGGACATAGATCATGAGAGGATATATATTCTACATAATATTTGGGTTTTGTCCTAACCAGGTCTGGTATCACCGTGAAGCACACATTTCTACAAAACAAACAAACAAACAAACAAACAAACAAACAAACAAACAAACAAACAAACGGTACATTGAGGTACCCTGAGACAGAAACTAGAGAAAAGCAAAATAAATATCTAAAAATTCGTATGTTATAGAAGATAAAAGAATCAGGTATTAAAACAATATGTTAAGCAAATGTTAAAACAACAGTAAACTAAAAAAAAATGGCCACCACAGTTTAAGTTGACTGCAGCAAGGTCTTCAGTAATTGCCTAAAAACAATTCACAAAATCTAGTTGAAGACTGTGCCATCTGTGAGAGTTTGAAACTTTCTTTATTTGTGTTTTGGGTTGGTGCACAATAAACCAGTCTAAAACACGCCAAGATTCCAGGAAGAGACTGCTGGAATTGCAAATGAAGCAGCACTGTGATTCAGGAATAAGATGCAATTTTGCAAAGAAACTTTTGACTGTGACTTAGTTGTACCTATGACTCAGCCAGAGAGTGTTTCCTGTTAACATGGAACGTATTTTTGTTCAGAGCTCGTGTTTTGCAATCACCCACTCAGCAGTCTGAGAGTACAAATCATGTGCTTATGATAGCAAATTACAATACCTGGGCCCAGTTAATCATGTTCTTGAATCCTTTCTCAAATCATAGTCTCCTTGGTCGGTGAGTGATGTGCTTTTAAAGGGCAGGTTGTCAGCATTCAGTTTTAAAATAGTCCCACTTAAGGTTTTTGTCAGCGTGCCACAAATCGAGCTCTAGCTAGTGTGTGCTGCAGTGCATATGCATTCCCAGGGACCCTTTATTATTGGCCAGTGGTATAGCGTGGGTTGCCAGTGCCCGGGGCCATGCGGAGTGAGGTGGGAGGGAAACGGAGGGGAGTACACATGCGCATTCAACTGCCTAACAGCGTCTGCTTCACCCAGGAGATCACAGCTGTAGAGATAAGAAATGAAGAGCCGTTCAGTTGTCTGGAGAGGTCACTTCCTGGTTTGCAGGGAGAAGCCTTTTTCAGTGGAGCCCAGCGATGGAAGCGCACAGCTGTATTGAGGCAGCAATGGGTGTTGAAATTTTGCGCCCCTAAGAACATTGTGCCTGGGGCAACCGCCTTGTACCTCCCCCACACTTTGCCACTGGTATTGCCTGCAATTAAAGAGGGAGATGCAGGCAGGAGGTCTTGCACACTTGCTGATGGTGGCAGCTGAGGCTCTGGCTGATTATTCATGCTTCAAAGCAGGGGCAAAGAATCATGGCTCAGCAGTAACTTATGTGTTGTTGTTGCTGTTAGAAATGTTCCAAGACTATAACATATAGTGTAAAAGAAGAACAGAGCAATACAAGTACAGTCGTACCTTGGAAGTCGAACTGAATCCGTTCTGGAAGTCAGTTTGACTTTCAAAACATTCAGAAACCAAAGCGCAGCTTCTGATTGGCTGCAGGAAGCTCCTGCAGCCAATTGGAAGCCACAGAAGCCTTGTCGGACATTCGGCTTCCAAAAAAAGTTCGAAAACCGGAACACTCACTTCCTGGTTTCGATCGTTCGGGAACTGAAACGTTCAGCAGCTAAGCCATTCAAGATCCAAGGTACGACTGAATCTACTGTATCTACTGTAATCTGTAAGCGAATTTGGATCGCATGCTTAAACATCAGCCTTAATAAACCACAATATCTCCCTTGGTACAGTTATATTATGAGCCTAAATGAATTCATATTAGTTGTGATTTGTCTACTTTCCTGGTCTATAAACTCTGAGATACACTCTTCTCGTGAGACACACACACACACACACGTACATACATCTCTACAGCTTCTATCCTTGATTTTTGAAATATATGACATTTCTTCAGCTCTTTATAATCTTCTGATTCAGGAGGTATCCTGCAGTTTTAGTACAAGCAATGCAGCGTTTAGGCTGTTTTTCCTTTCTGACATCCAGTGTGGCGCTGGGGTTGGAGTGTTGGACTAGCACCTTGGGGGACCAGAGTTCAAACCCCCAGTTGGCTATGAAGCTATCTGCCTCTCAGCCTAAACCTTGTTATGGGGATTAAATGGGTGTGTGTGTGTGAGAACCATGTACGTTACCTTGAGCTCCTTGAAGAAAAAGGTGGGATGTAAATGCAAAAAAACCCAACACAAATCTGTTGGAATCTGTACTCTCCTTCTGGTTCCTCTTTAATTCAGTTCCTGGGTATGAACAATACAAGCTTTAATGCTGGTGTGTTTGTTTGTTTGTGTTGCTTGTCTTGAATTCAAGGTGTCATCTTGCACATGTTCAAGCCCCTTCTGGCACAGTTTATCCAGCTTTCTCTCCTAGGTGATCACTCTTTGCTTGTATTAGATTGCCTTAATTTACTAGAAACATTTAAGTTTCACCACCATCTCTCCTTTTCTCTCTCTTCCTAGGTGGCTTTGCTTTTGTATATGAAGCTCAGGATGTTGGAAGTGGCAAAGATTATGCTTTAAAGGTAAATATCCTCAGTTTCATGGGACTCAACGCATGTCTTTACATTGTTGACGTGGTTAACAGTAAGGCAGCAAATGTGAAAATACCCGTAGCTTATAATGAATCCATTTGGAATCTTTCCCATAGAAAGTAATGCAAAATGGATTCATCCGTTCCAGACTTTTAAAAACAACCCCTAAAAGAGCAATTTAACATTAGTTTTGCTATCTAACGAGACCACTGATCCATAAAATGAGAGCAATAAACAATGTACTGCAGTCACACAACCAATCAATCAGTAGCTGAAGTGGGTTCCACACAGTCACAAAAACAAAACGAAAAGAGCCACAAAAACGCAAAAGTAATAGCAAAAACAGACAGACCTCAGCATAACACTCAAAACAGAAGCGTGGCACTCAAATTGGAGCACATTCAGCTTCCGAAAAAAAGTTCGCAAACTTGAACACTTACTTCGGGTTTGCAGTGTTTGGGTTCCAGGTTGTTTGAGTTCCAAGGTGTTTGAGAACCAAGGTACCGCTGTATGTCCTAGTTGGACAGAAGCATGGCTCTTTCTTTGTATGTTTTTTTAATAAAAAAAAAATGATAAGGGCGTGTACGGGACGTGGGTGGCGCTGTGGTCTAAACCACTGAGCCTCTTGGGCTTGCTGATTCAGAAGGTCGGTGGTTTGAATCCCAGAGATGGGGTGAGCTCCCGTTGCTCAGTCCCAGCTCCTGCCAACCTAGCAGTTCGAAAGCACACCAAAAGGTGCAAGTAGATAAATAGGTACCACTCTGGCAGGAAGGTAAATGGCGTTTCCATGCTCTGCTCTGGATTCGGTGTTCCATTTCGCCAAAAGCGCTTAGTCATGCTGGCCACATAACCCAGAAAAATTATCTGTGGACAAACGCCAGCTCCCTTGGCCTGTAAAGCAAGATGGGCGCCGCAACCTTTACGTTTTAAGGGCATGTACGGAGGCGATGTTTGTGGTGATGATTTGTACAGTTAGTAAAGTAGGAGGCCAACAGTAGGTGGTGCCAAAGCCAGTGGCGGGCAGAGCCAATTAAGTCTAGTTCTTCCTATCCTTCTCCTTGTTAGTTACACAAGGGCAACGCTGAGACTAAGGAAGAGGAAGATGACAGGCCTTGCCGTCGCCTGGACTGTTCATAACTAATAAGGCAGACAGTGGGGGCTAGCTGAGGGCAGACTGAAGTTTGGGGGCAGTGCATCATTCGCCCTAAGTGGCTGACCTTTGCTGCGATTTAGTAGTTCATATACTTTCTTGCTGCATCTGAGAAGTAAACTATTGCTTTGCCAAATGCCGGCATTCCTGCTTCATCGTTGTCTCTGTAGGCCACCTTCCTTTCTAGTGCATCGCTACTGTAGAGAATCATTGGGATCTTGCCATTCGAGATTTGAATGGTTTTGCAAACTCATCTGGAACAATAGCAGGAGGATAATGGTGTCCCTTTTCCCCAATTGGCTTTTGTTTCAGAACAACCTAGAATAGCTTTCAGTGTTAAACCTTTGTTTCAGGCTTTTGCTTATTGCTTTTTTGATATATATGAATTGCAAGCTCTTTAACTTGCACCAGATGCTTCCAGAGTGTTGAACAATGAAATACTTAGAGGTGTGCATTTGGATAGTTCTGGGGTATGGCGTCATCGATGCTACGTAAACACTTAGATAAGCCATGAAACCTTAGCCTGCACCCTCCCCAGGACTAAAGTTGTCATTAGTGAATGTTTCAGAGCAACTTACAAGTTAGCTATTACCATGAGACTGGTGTTCCTTCGGCCTGGGATACTTCTGCCCCAGAGTAGATTTGTTGAAAACATAATATTTGTTACATTTCTTAAAACATGCAAGCCTTTCTTCCTCTAAGGGGCTCTGAGTGATATTTTGGTTTCATAACGGACCTGGAAGGTAGATCAGACTGAGCAGTGACTTGTCCAAGGGCACCCACTGAATGTCATGGCTGAGTCAGAAGTTGAATGTGGGACGGGACACCATACCATGCTGACATTTGTAGCCATATTTCTCCATAACGGGTAGATTGCAAACTTCTGGTGGCCCAAAATTGGGGAGGTGTGAAGGAAAGCCCTCTTCTTAACTTGTAAAACAGACTCTGGCGTCATTATAAGAAGGTTGTAGAGACTCTAGAAGGATCTCCAAGACCTTCTCATAATGGTGCTGCACCAGAGGGAGGGAAATGGGTGTAAATGTGTGAAGCCTCCAGCCCATGTGTGCTCAGGAGTGTATGTGTGTATGCCCTTTTTTCTCTGTGAAGGAGAAATGATTACGAATAGCACTGGGTGCTTTGCCTTCTGAAACAGTGTGCTTATAGAGGTTACTTGCATGTGTTCAAAAGTTGGTCGTTAACCATAACAATTTGCAACAAGTAAAAATTAAGATTCCCGGGAATTTGCACTAGGCACTAAGCTTGCACAAGGTTTTAGGTCACAAGAAAAACCACAAGCATGTGGAACTGAGGAAATCTGAAAGGTGTTTCCATGCAAAATGACATTCCTCATGCCCTTGGTATATTGTTGGACTACAACTCCCATTGGCCATGCAGCTGGTGTCTTGATGGGAGTTGTGATCTGACAAAATTTGGAGAGTGTTATGTTGAGGGAGACTGTTATACAGTGGTACCTCGCAAGACAAATGCCTCGCAAGACAAAAAACTCGCTAGACGAAAGGTTTTTTTGTTTTTTGAGCTGCTTCGCAAGACGATTTTCCCTATGGGCTTGCTTCGCAAGACGGAAACCTCTTGCAAGTTTGTTTCCTTTTTCTTAACACCGTTAATACAGTTGCGACTTGACTTCGAGGAGCAACTCATAGAACGCGGTGTGGTAGCCTTTTTTGAGGTTTTTAAAGACTTTGGTGATTTTTGAAGCTTTTCCAAAACTTTCCCGACACCGTGCTTCGCAAGACGAAAAAAATCGCAAGACGACAAAACTCGTGGAACGAATTAATTTCGTCTTGCGAGGCACCACTGTACTGGGCTAAGATTCTGTCCCCCCAAAATGTTGGCACTATTCTTGCAAGTGACTTCATAATGGTAACGTAATTTGAACTTTAAGTGATGGGTCTCCGGTGCTGCCATGCTTCCTGTCACCAGTGCTTCACAATGGATGTTGAAGATGGCAAGGCAGGCTGTCCCTGATATTCGCGTGTGGGCTGTGAAATGTCTCTTTCATTATATAAATCATAAGAATATATGCTGTCATAAAAAAGACTGATATTAATTTATTGGAAAGATAATGCCATGTCTCTCTGTGATCAACGGATAGAAGATACGGCAACTCTAGCAACACATGAACAGATCGCTTTTCGACGCAGATTGTGTATGGATAAATGCAACAATATTTGGAATCCCTTCATAAAAAGCATAATGCCTTGTTAACAATTTTACATTTCTATAACATCTTTATTTCCTGACAGAGATTATTATCTAATGAAGAAGAAAAGAACAAAGCCATCATTCAAGAAGTTTGTTTTATGGTATCCTTTTAGAGACAACCTGAAACGCTTTGGGTAAAGCAGTCCTTAATTATACAGTTATGCATATCCGTCTTTGGTTGTCACAGGTTGTCTAAGGGATCATATCTGTGGTAGTTCAGAAATTCCATAGTTTGGTACAAATGATCCTTCTTTTTGTTTGTGGCACCAGGATTTCTTCTGACACGTTAAGTGAAGGCATACAGATTAAAATTTTGGCTTGTCTTAATTTTCCCAATTCACATAGGCACTATAAAAAGAAATGTGCTGTGTGACCTGTTCTTATTTCTTAAAACATTATTGGAAATGTTTCTGTAGCGGTAGATTTGCCCGCACGCTCCCTGCCTCCAGAGAAAGCTGGGAATTCCAATGGATTTGGGACTGTAATCTCTCAAGGGAACGAGCTGTTCTTTATTGTATAACCTGGCTGCAAAAGATGTGTTCCAAATCTAGCAATCTTTGAAACTTTAACAGATGAAATCCTCTAGAAAAAGCTCTCTGGTCACCCGAACGTTGTCCAGTTCTGCTCTGCTGCATCGATTGGAAAAGAGGAATCTGATACTGGGCAAGGAGAGTTTCTTCTGCTAACCGAGCTTTGCAGAGGTAAAATGATAATTTATGTGGGCTCTTTATTGTTTGGTGGACTAATCTAGCAGTTCAGCCAAGCCAGTCCTTCCTTCAGAGATGACTGTGGTGAGGCTGGTCAAAACAGCCTTCCAGCTTTGTAGATAAGCTGACCAATTTTACTTAGTCAGCAAAAACTTCTAGTGGCCAGCTAGGGTCTTGGCAGAGGAGGAACAAGAGACCTCTGGTAGTATATTTCTATACCAGACACATTTCTATGCCTCCTGGCAGCCTACTTTGGTTTTGATGCTGGATGCTGAGAAGGGATGGCGCACCCTATTCCTTCATGGAACTCCTTGCTATGGCTACTGGGCTCATGCCCAGTAAGATAAGGCTGTTTTCTTTTTCAATTATATTTTACCAAGTTTCAACATTTTTAACATACACAATCAAGATACAATTCTGTCTTTTCTCAGCTATGGCACCCACACAACCAGGAGTCCCGATTATGCAGAGCCCCTATACCAGTGTTTCCTAATGTTGGGTCTCCAGCTGCTCACTGCCCTATATACAAAGTGAAGCTTGCTCGTTGGCCTTCTTATACAGACACTAGCATGCAATACAAGGTGGTTTGGATGCAGGTGGCGCTGTGGTCTAAACCACAGAGCCTCTTGGGCTTGCCGATCAGAAGGTCAGCGGTTCGAATCCCCATGAAAGAGTGAACTCCCATTGCCCTGTCCCAGCTCCTGCCAACCTAGCAGTTTGAAAGCATGCCAGTGCAAGTAGATAAATAGGTACTGCTATGGCGGGAAGGTAAAAGGTGTTTCTGTGAGCTCTGGCACTCGTCACAGTATCCCGTTGTGCCAGAAGCGGTTTAGTCATGCTGGCCACATGACCTGGAAAGCTGTCTGTGGACAAACGCTGGCTCCCTCAGCCTGAAAGCGGGATGAGCTCCGCAACCCCAGAGTCGCCCTTGACTGGACTTAACATCATGGGGTCCTTTACTTTACAAGGTGGTTGTCCCCCTCCCCTTTTTTAATAAAAAAAGGAATATCCAATGTTCGGTTGTGTGACTTACACGGAAGCAATCCATGCATCTGTCTCCCCTGACCCCTCTCTCATAACCTTCTTGTTTATTGGAAACCACTTTGGGAAAGGCATTTTAAATTGACGTAGAAATGACTGGCTCTTCTTTCCTCCCACACAGTTATTCTTTCCCCCCTTCTCTTCACCCCCCCCGAGACGGCTATTAATTAGGACTGTGAGCTTTAATCACAGTTTTAATTGCCGATTAAAATTTGCTCTCTAATTAATTGGTGTGACTGAGACTGAAGGGCACCCTGCCGTGCAGGTCACCCAGACACGATGGCTCCTTTGTCCTTGTGCCAAGTTGGAAGAGAAGAAACACTTGGAAGAGTTTTTTTTTATGGCTTTCCCTTTTGGTCTGTATCCAGAGCTAGTAGATGTTTTGCATTTGAAGTTAGTCAGCTTTTTCTTCTTGCAGTGAGAACTGCAGGCAGCTGAGACTGACAGGGTTCAGTATTTGCGTTTGCTCACTCCTCCACCCCCCCCGCTGCCTTTGGATCTTGGCCATGATTTGAGAACTGAGGGCTGGGGAATTAACATTTCACATACTCTGGAGTTCCTTGTTTTATATGTGCAGGAGCTACTGCTTAGGAACAGGACAGGAAGATTTGCTTAGCAATCTAATATTGTGTGGGAGGGCATGAGAGGTTTGCTGTTTGTGGGCTAATAACGGGGCAAGATGGCCGCCCATCTCATCCTGGTTTGAGGTGGCAGACTTCTGAGGGTGGAGACTTGGACCCCCATTTCGTGGTGTGTGTTCACTCCCAAGAAGGGAAGAACTAAGGAAGGAAATTAATTGGCAAGTAGGGTGGGCTTTACCCTTTCTGGTCTGGGGTGGGGGCCAAATTCTCACTCAAATGTAGAAGAAGCCATGTTGTTTGCTTCCTTGCTTGCTCGGTTTGTGTGTGTGGCGCCACATCTGCATGTTTAAAGTGTTATTATCCCACTTTAAGCAGTCATGGCTTCCCTAAATTGGTAGTGTACAGCTCCCCAGGGAATTGCAGTTTGTTAAGGGGTGCTGAGAGTTGTTAGGAAGTCCTCGTATTCCCCTCGCAGAGTGTTATGAATTTTTCGTCCGCAGGGCAAGTGGTGGAATTTCTGAGGAAAGCTGAATCCAAAGGGCCCCTCTCGTGCGACACGGTGTTGAAGATCTTTTATCAGACCTGCCGTGCGGTGCAACACATGCATAAGCAGAAACCTCCTATTATTCATAGAGATTTAAAGGTACAGAATCCGAAACAAGCTGAACGGCTGATTTATGCAAAGGAGGAGCTTTGTTATGAATCCGGAGCAGCAGCCAGTAGCAAGTTATTTAATCTTTTCATAAAATTTATATACTGCTTGAGGGTAGAAAACGAATGAACCTAAAAGCAGTTTATAATATTTAGACTGAGTGTGTTTTGAGTTTGTCATGTAGTAAATGGAAAAGTATTGCATCGGATAATAATAATAATAATAATAATAATAATAGTGGTAATAAAGTTATTATTTATACGCCACCCATCTGGGTGGGTTTCCCCAGCCACTCTTGGCAGCTTACAGCGTATAAAAACATAGTAAAACCTCAAATATTAAAAACCTCCCAATAGAGGGTTGTCTTCAGAAGTCAGAGAGTTGTCCATTTCCTTAGCATCTGATGGGAGGGCGTTCCACAGGGAGGGTGCCACTACCGAGAAGGCCCTCTGCCTGGTTGGCAAAAACATGCTACTAAATTATATTGGCTGAGAATAAAGAGGTGGGAGGATGTTAAGGATTGGTTGTACATGTACACAGCCCACACACTAAGTTAGTCGCAAGCTTAGCGGTGGGCACATATGGAAGTCCAAACCAAATGATGCATAGAATGCTTTTATAATAGTCGCTACATTTTAGATCTCTTGGGGCTGGTTCATACAGCCAGCCATATGGAAACATTCTTGTAGTGCAATCCCTAATTAAAAGTAGTCTGGGAAATATTGATAGCTACATGATGTTTATCGCATCTTTTGTTGTACTTTATTCCATTAGGCTAATCTAAGAAGCAGCGTTTGCTGCTCTCCAGAGGGAAGGCCTCTTCTAAAATAAACACACGTATTAGGGAGTGTGAACAGTGCAGCCAGTACAGAATTGATAAATCTTGTGCGCTTTGATGCTGTGAACTTGGAGGATATATGCATGAAAAGCTGCCTTTTTTAATATAAATGTAAGTGTGTCCGCTGAATGTGCACCCTTAAACTCCCCACTTGATTGTCCGTACAGATAGAAAATATGCTGATGAGTAACCAAGGAACAATTAAACTGTGTGACTTTGGCAGTGCAACAACCATAGCACATTACCCTGACTACAACTGGTCCGCGCAGAAAAGAGCAGCGGTTGAAGAGGAGGTGAGAAACCTGATACTCTGATTTATTTTCAACGTTTTGTAACTCTAGGCTTTTTGGTATCCCTTGAATACATTAGACCAAATTCTGTCGCAGTGGAAATCACTTGGAAATGTTATGGGGGAGCAGCATTCTTTTCCTGGTCCTATACAAGACATTCTTAAACTACTGCTGTAATAAAATAGTAGCCTTCAGCTGTGTATGGCTGCAAGCCTGTACACATTTAACCTGGGTACCTCTGAATAGTCATGCATTAGATTGTGCTGTCTGCTAAGAAGCACCTCATAAAATGTCCTTTTTTCTCCGAACCACAGCACAAATACTACATCTCTTGGATCCTTCGGTCTTCTCTGTTGGTTAAGGCTAAATGTATTTCATGCAAATAATGTAAAAGTCGCGTCCAAAAGTTCTGCATTTGGTTTCCAAAATGAATTGTGAGCCAAGCTGCCTGTGTCGCCCTGATTTGTATAACATTACTTCTGAGAGCTGCTTTTCAGAGAACCTGGAAAGCTTTTGGCAAGGGCTGGTAGAATAGCAACAGGCACCTGAATTTAGGGAGCAGCAGTCTTAGAAGAGGGACGCGGGTGGTGCTGTGGGTTAAACCACAGAGCCCAGGACTTGCCAATCAGAGGGTCAGCGGTTTGAATCCCCGTGACGGGGTTGAGCTCCTGTTGCTCGATCCCTGCTCCTGCCAGCCTAGCAGTTCGAAAGCACGTCAAAGTTCAAGTAGATAAATAGGTACCACTCTGGCAGGAAGGTAAACAGTGTTTCCGTGAGCTGCTCTGGTTCGCCAGAAGTGGCTTAGTCATGCTGGCCACATGACCCGGAAGCAGTACGCCGGCTCCCTCGGCCAATAAAGCGAGATGAGCGCTGCAACCCCAGAGTCGGTCACGACAGGACCTAATGGTCAGGGGTCCCTTTACCTTTACCTTTAGTCTTAGAAGAAAATCAGGGAGCCATGATCTAGGGTGCTGCAGTGCCCTCTCCTAGTCACCAGGGGCCACTATATTTTGCTGGAGCTTCATGATAGCTTTTAAGGAAGTGCTACATGAAGGAGTTTGCAGTGGTCAGTCGACTGGCCATGTGGGAACAGGAGGATTGCAGATTTACTGGTCACAGGGTCATCAGGTTGTAAACCATGAGTGGTGGTGGTGGGGAACTCTCAAAAGGGTGGCCCATCTGCTACAGGCATCTGAAATCATTCCCTGAATAGCATAATGCTGCTTACAGGTTTTTGAAATATTGAATGGTATATAAATGCATTTAATAAATGAATAAATAACCAAGAAACATCAAAGAAAATCCCCCTTCTTTGAGAGTTCCCTGCAGCATCCCATGGCTTATAAGAGGAGGATATCGCTATCTACATATATATCCAGTCTAACAGACTAGGTTGGCAGGAGCTGGGACAGAGCAATGGGAACTCACCCTGTTGTGGGGATTTGAACCACTGGGCTTGCCAGTCGACCTTCTGATTGGCAAGCCCAGTGGCTCAGTGGTTTAGACCACAGCACCACCCGCGTCCTAGCCAACCTAGAAGTTTGAAAGCATGCCAGTTCAAGTAGATAAATAGGTACCGCTGTGGTGGGAAGGTAAATGGCATTTCAGTGCGCTCTGGTTTCTGTCACGGTGTACCGTTGCACCAGAAGCGCTTTAGTCATGCTGGCCACAGGACCCTGAGACAAACGCCAGCTCCCTTGGCCTGAAAGCGAGATGAGTGCCACAACCCCATAATCGCCTTTGACTGGACTTAACCGTCCAGGGGTCCCTTACCTTTACACCTAACAGACTACTAATACTGTACTGTACTTAGAAACAAGAATTGACCTTCACATTGATTTCCTGAGTGCTAATCTTGATTTGCATGTCACAAAGGCAAGAAATCATTTTGTTTCTTTTTATTGGTTGCTGCTGCAGGAGTTACAGAAACCCAAATTTGGCATACAGGTTGTTTTGATGAAAACCAAAGCATTTTGTGCTTGGGGTGTTCTAGGTTCCTTTTAAATTTTATTTTGTTTCTGACCCTCTGCTGAGGTGGTCTTTTTATTTTGTGTGTCTACAGATCACAAGGAATACAACACCAATGTATAGGACTCCTGAAATAATAGATCTATATTCAAACTTTCCAATTGATGAAAAACAAGATATTTGGGTAAGCATTTTCTTTATACGTAGATTAGACCTTGTGTGATACCTTGTTTCTGAATATTTTCTGGATTTTGTATTTGTTTATGGAATTCCTGCCCCTCCATTTCATCCCAAGTGGTTCACAGTAAACCAATAAAACATACACAATAACACCACTGCAATACAGACGTTAAAACTTCAAAAATGTGGCAGTGACTTAACACATATAATAAATAAATAAACAAACAAAACGAAACACCTTTTGCTCCTGATACTCTTTCCTTTGGTTAAATATTATTTATCAGTTATAAAGCACCTAACATTTCACTAAGCACCGTACAGATTTAAAAACAAGGCAGTCCTTGCCCACAGGTTTTCAGTCTAATAAAGCATACAACACACAAGGAAAAGGGATAGAGAAGGAAGAGGAAAACAGGCAAGCTTACATAGTTCTTAAAATGTGACCACCTTAAACAGTTCAGGAAAAGGAGGAGCCAAAGGCATCTAGAATTTTTCAGGAGTGTGTGCTGTTACCTCTTTCTCTGTTGGCTAGTGTTGTAGTTGTGAAAACCTCTCACTCCTTTATTAGGAATGGGTGAGTTCACTGTTAACACTTTCACCAAATCAGACCCAATAGCGTAAAACCCTTGAAATCAATTGACCTAGGTTAACCGTGTCCATTTAATTTCTTCGGTTGGACTGCCCTGACATTGGAAGCAACCTGAAGTGCTTTAAGCTACCAAACACTGTGCATTGAATTAAAAATAGACAAGACTGTGCCAAATCATCTGGAAATTTACAAGGACAGCGCAACACAAGGAACTGGAGGAGAAGAGACATATAAGCAAGCACACAGATTTTTCAAGAACATTGGGAATGTTAAAGCCAAACAGGGATAGGAGGCTTGCATTTTTATGTAAGCGATGGGGGGGGGGCAGTGCAGTTTCTAAGGAAGTACAGCTAAAAGAAAAGAGGTATTTGGAAGTAATTTCTGGCTATACTCTCCATTTTTCTAATTGAAGCTGGGAAGGAAGAGGGAGAGGCAGGGAGAGAGAATAATTCTCTTGTTGACGGATTTGATAGAATGTACTGATAGGAATGCCTTAAGCACAATGCAGTGAACAGCAGACAATGTTCCAGTCTTACTGGTGAATACATTGTGAATACATTGTAGGGACGCGGGTGGCGCTGTGGTCTAAACCACTGAGCCTCTTGGGCTTGCCGATCAGAAGGTCGGCGGTTTGAATCCCTGTGACGGGGTGAGCTCCCATTGCTCTGCCCCAGCTCCTGCCAGCCTAACAGTTCAAAAGCACGACGGTGCAAGTAGATAAATGGGTACTGCTGTGGCAGGAAGGTAAACGGCATTTCCGTGTGCTCTGGCTTCCGTCACGGTGTCCCGTTGCGCCAGAAGTGCTTTAGTCATGCTGGCCACAAGACCCGGAAAGCTGTCTGTTGGCAAACGCCGGCTCCCTCGGCCTGAAAGCAAGATGAGCGCCGCAACCCCATAGTCACCTTTGACTGGACTTAACTGCCCAGGGGTCCTTTACCTTTACCTTTTACATTGTGAATACATGGGCGCATGGGCAGTACAGCATCTTGTCCTGAGGCACTCAGGATCAGTTTGTGGGGAAGGACAGTAGCTCAGTTTGTAGAGCATCTGTCGTGAATGCAATAAAGTTCCAGGTTCAGTACCTAGTGACTCCCAAGTAGGGCTGGGAAAAAGTGCTGTCTGAAAGCCTGATGAGTCGCTGCCACTCAGTGTAGACGATACTGAGTTAGATGGACCAATAGTTTGACTCCATATAGGGTGGTGAAAGCAGTAGGAGAATACATAGAACTGATGGGCAAGCAGAGTGTTCTGTATTGCTCTGCTGGGTGTCAAGCTTACCAAACTTCTGTACACTGGTACCTCAGGTTACAGATGCTTCAGGTTACAGACGCTTCAGGTTATAGACTCCGCTAACCCAGAAATAGTGCTTCAGGTTAAGAACTTTGCTTCAGGATGAGAACAGAAATAGTGCTCCGGTGGCATGGCAGCAGCGGGAGGCTCCATTAGCTAAAGTGGTGCTTCAGGTTAAGTACAGTTTCAGGTTAAGAATGGACCTCCGGAACAAATTAAGTACTTAACCCGAGGTACCACTGTACTCGATGAGAAATTGATTCAGTGCTTACACGTACATCTTGCTCAGTTTTGACATGATCGCCTGCGTTTTCTGTCCTCATCATCTCTGAGAGAGCAGATTAAGATTCCTGGGTTGGAGAGCAGAATGTGGGAACTGCTGAAGTGTTACGATTATTTATTAAATTTATTGGTCGCTTTTTTGCCACGGCAGCTCAAAGCGACTTTCAATATTTTAAGCAAAAAACAAAGACATACGCACATTATAACCAGTATATATATATTTAAATGAACTGCATTAAAACATCTCAGCCACACAAATAGGCCATAGATGCTGAAAGGCCTGATTGAAAAAGGCATGTTTTTGCCTGGCGCCTAAAGATAAGTAAATGGCAGCAGGTGTGCCTCCCCAAGAGAGCTGGAGCCACCATTGGAAAGGCCCGTTCTCGTGTTGCCACCCTCTGTTGTGTTGTGGTCGAGATACAAACTTGGGATGGCAGCCAAGGCTCATTGGTATCCTCTTTCATTGGCAGGGCTCAATCTGGGAAGTCAAACCATGGTTTCATGTGGGATTTTAGCAAGGATTAAGGCAACAAACTGCGGTTAGCACTCATTATGGTTGCATGGCTGCAGCAGATCATCCAATGCTGTAGTCTGCTCCGAAGTAATTGAATACCATAGGCTATTGGGTGAAACGGAATAATAGCTCCCATAGCTGATTCGATTTAAGCTTGAACAACTTAACTATTTAGGAATTTGGGGAGGGGTTTTTTTTGGTGTTAACGTCTGCATTCTTTCCCTGCAGGCATTGGGTTGCATCCTCTACCTGTTGTGCTTCAGGCAACATCCATTCGAAGATGGAGCTAAGCTTCGAATAGTCAATGGAAAATATTCAATTCCTCAGAATGACACAAGATACACAGTGTTTCATGATCTCATTCGTAAGTTTAAGACTGTAATGCTGAATTCACTTGGGGCAAATGAAAGGGGAATGAACTGATAGTTTTGTATGAAGTTAAGGTTCTTTTTGTTTGTTTCCTTTGCAAAAATGCACCTAAATATTTTTTTAAAGTTTCTGTTCATGTATTAATGGGAAATGACAGTATACATGCAGGTTGAAGAGAAAATCCATGAATATAAGAAATTAGAAGTGGCAGTGAAGTTAACCGTTCCATCTTTTTATTATTTGAGTGTAGTGTTGACTTTATTCCAGTGCACAGGTAGGGGATGTATGGCTCACCAGAAGATGTGTACTGCAACTTCCATCAGCTCAAGCCAGCATGGCCAGTGATCAGAGATGATGGGAGTTGGGAGTCTTAAACATTCGGAAAGCACCAGCTTAGGGAAGCCTTGTTCTAGCATATGTGGAAGGGATTCACCACTCCTGGGTGACTAAAAGTATTATACAGCCCAGCATGTTCTGAGCTTCTCCCTTTTCTTAGAGAATTCTCAGCTATTCACAGTTTGAAGCCCTTGATCACTGAAACAATTAAAGCCACATTTGTGGTATAAAGTTATGCAAATATTCATTAGCCAGGTCTTTTACCCATGTTGAAAGTCTCTTTGGATGACTGGCAGGATAGAAATCTTAGGGCAGGGGAAACCAGAAATTTGTCTTTGAGATCTGCAGATTAAACCCCCGTTTCAATAATCTGTTGTGTCATTTTATTAGGATCGAGTCTGAAAGTGAATCCGGAAGAGCGGCTGTCCATCACGGAGCTTGTGAATCAATTGCAGGAGATCGCAGCTGCTAGAAATGTGAACCCAAAGTCCCCTATCACAGAGGTAACTGGAGCTATTGAGCAAAGCCTTATGGTTTGGGGTTCTCTGCACTGAAACTCCAAATTGCCCGTTGAAGATGCGCCAATGTTGGAATAAGGCAAATAGATTGGCGTGTTTCGTACAAGTCTTCCAAAAGCAATGTTGTCAAATAAATTCTGTTCTGTTTCCCATCCTCAGGACTCTGATCTCAGAAGTCAGGGAATAAGGGAAATGAGTAGCAGGTATAGAGAAACCCCAACCTGGTGCCCCTCAGCATTTTGGACTACAATTCCCATCATCCATGGCCCATTGGCTATGGAGACTGAGGCTAATGGAGGCTGTTGGTGGGCATGAGTTTGGGGGAGGCTGGTAGAGAGCAAGATCTGCTTCATTTCTAGTCATCTTGGCATTTGCATGTGAATAATCTTTTTTATTATTTCTGGACTGCTTGAAATATAAGTGCTGTTCAAACTTTGCAACATTCCCTTCCCACAATCTACCAAACACATTTGGTGCTTCACATACAATGTGACGTTTGCATCCCTCTTGTAAAGTAGATCAGTTCTATCTCTGTATTGCAGAAGAAGCAATATGCGGTTGGGCTGATAGGAAATTGAGAGGGTGATAGTTTGCCTAAAGCTACCTAGTGAGATTGCTTTTGGAGGGCAGAGTTGAAACAAGGACTTTGCTGGTGCAGAGGCTAAGAGCTTGAGCTCCAGTCCTCAGCCCTTTTGGACCTGGACTCTCCTCTAACCACTGTTCTGTGTTATGGGACCCTCTTTAATTACACACACACACACACACACACTTACAGTGGTACCTCTGGATGCGAATGGGATCTGTTCCGGAGCCCTGTTCGCATGCTGAGTACAACACAACACGCGTCTGCGTGTCTGCGTCTGTGCGGGTTGCGTTTTGCCGCTTCCGTACACGCGCATGACGTCATTTTGAGCGTCTGCGCATGCGCGAGCGACGAAACCCAGAAGTAACGTACTCTGTTACTTCCGGGTCGCCACGGAGCGTAACTTGAAAACGCTCAACCTGAAGCATATTTAACCTGAGGTATGACTGTACTGTAAATACTGACTTTTCACCAGCTTTGATGAGCTATCTTGGCAAGTATAGCTTGTCATGCAGCGCTGCAGGAAGTGGTATGTGCTGACATTTCCTCTCCCAGAGTAAAGGAGTGTTATCCTCCTTTGTACTTAATTGACCTCCGTATAAAGATTTCTGGTTTTTTGACCTCAATTAATTTTTCTGCCAACTTCATTAGATGAAAAACCCCAAATGAATAAAATAGAGAATAGCGGTGGAACCCATTTTATGGCCGGGATACAATTTGTTTGTGGATCCCACCTGGCAAGTGGCTTTAAGATGCTCTGTATTGCTTGTACCCTTTGGTGGGGTGTGTGTTTGAAAGAAATCGAAGTGCTAATTCTGGAAATGGCTGATTTTTCTTTCCAGCTCCTTGAACAAAATGGAGGCTATGGAAATAATGCTCTGCCTAGGACATCGTCAGCTGTAGTAACACAGAACTCAAAGCCAGCAGGGCAGCTCAACAACATGTACAATGCAGGTATATTCCCAAATATTCCCCCCTCCCATGTTGTTTTTTTTTAATCAGAGCTTCAAAATATGTGAGATCTCCCAGTACCATGCCTGGTTGTACTTCTTGGCAATTCCTTTTACGACCATTTGTTTAATAATGGGACTAAAGCCTTTCTAAAGAAATGCAAAAATATAGGAGAGAGTTTAAGTGCACCACCAAATTGTTTGACACTGAAGCTAATGGACTGAAATTGTGCTCAGTTACTTTTCTGTGCCCTTGGCTCTTAGGTCTGACGGTAGCCGAATGTGACCAGACTTACAGCGGATTCTTTGATATTCTTAGGGGCGGGACAGAGAGGTTTCTCACAAATATCAAGGACACATCTTCTAAAGTTATTCAGTCTGTGGCCAAGTAAGTAGAACTGTAACTGTGCTGATAAAGGGAATGCAGATCCACAAACATAATTCACCTCTCCCTCAGTGCATTGGGTATTTCATGTACTGTGTCTTTCCCGCCCCCACATGTGGTTTTTAAAAAGAGATGGCCTTCTCCAAAACTTGTGAAAAAGCAGGAAGGGGTGGGTTATGATAGGCTCAGCGGATGAATCTGTGCTTTGGGCACTATCCTGCTTCAAAATATTGTGGTTATATGGTTTTGGAACTTCCAAAACATTTGGAAACCAAGGCGTGGCTTCCGGTTGGCTTTGGGAAGCTCCTGCAGCCAATCAGAAGCTGCGTCGGACATTCGGGTTCCAAAGAACGTTCGCAAACCGGGACACTCACTTCCGGGTTTGTGGCATTCGGGAACCAAAACTTTCGACTCGCAAAGTGTTTGGGATCCAAGGTACGACTGGAAGAGGCATTGTATGTGTGCAAAGTTGTGTACATCACTAGAAAAAGCTGCTTTAAAAAAATAATCCCTAACCTGGTTTATACTGCAAATGTTACATTATTGGAGAGGTTTGAGCTCTCATACTGAGAATATTGTACTGACACAACCACACAAGTTCAGGACAGAGCTAGATGCAATAGTGAGCATAAGGTCTGCTGCCCCGCTCAGCAGCAAGGTTTCTGGTTTGACTCCTACCCTTCTGTTTCATGCAGTGCATCTTGGCGCTGTGACAACCTGCAATTCCATGCCATCTGGTCTACAGACCTCCTGCTAAAAGCAAGTGGCAACATGGGATCCTAGCCAAGATAGGTTAAGAAATATGTAATATCCCAGTAGCTGAATGTTTAGAAGGAACATTTGAAGCATAGCAGTTTCTGATTGGCTTGACTCCCCCACCTGTAAAAATAAACTTGTGAAAGGCACAGAAATCCCCATCTGCCGAGCCTGGCAAGCTCCAAATATTATGGGATGTTCCAAATTAGCTTGTTTATTTAGCTGTTTTTCTATTGCCTTTCATGGCCAAAAAGGGGTGCCTCACAATTAAAAGCATAACTATTTAAAACCTAAAACAGTAACTATAAAATGTAGCACATAAATAAAGTGCAGTAATTAGAATCAGTAAGTTCATTCATTTTAAAAGCAGATTGGAATGGTGAAGTTTTTAAAAACTCAAGTTCACAGCCAGACACACAGCTGGGTGGAATGTCCCAGGGACAGGGCTACCACTGAAAAGGCCCTGTCTCTTGTGACTCCCATACTTCAGTTTGTAGTGTAAAAAGAAGGGGGGAAAGATGGTGCTTAACATATGTATGGTTTGTTTGTTTCTTTAAGTAAGCATGAGCTTATCATAAATACAAATAATAGTACAGCTCTAAACCCATAAGGGGGATGTCGGCGGCACTGTGGGTTAAACCACAGAGCCTAGGACTTGCCGATCAGAAGGTCGGCGGTTTGAATCCCTGCGATGGGGTGAGCTCCCGTTGCTCAGTCCCTGCTCCTGCCAACCTAGCAGTTCGAAAGCATCTCAAAGTGCAAGTAGATAAATAGGTACCGCTCCGGCGGGAAGGTAAACGGTGTTTCCGTGCGCTGCTTTGGTTCGCCAGAAGCGGCTTAGTCATGCTGGCCACATGACCCAGAAGCTGTACGCCGGCTCCCTCGGCCAGTAAAGCGAGATGAGCGCCGCAACCCCAGAGTCGGTCACGACTGGACCTAATGGTCAGGGGTCCCTTTACCTTTAAACCCATAAGGATCAACAGTAAACCTGGCATTTAACATGCAATTGCCAGCTCATTTAAAGACTACCTGGAATAAAAAAAGGTAGGAACCGGTCCCTACAAACTAAAATTATAGAACAGATTAGCTACTTTTTGGGCGTGTGGGGAGAGAGGGAGCACACGAGCATGGGGCTACCATAGGAAAATTCTTGCTACTGGAAGCTGCCAGTCTAGCTTCGAGACAGCTGAGGAACTCAAGAGTGCGCCCCCCGCCCCGAATATAAGCCAGCCTAACCCATCCTCTGGTGCCCTCCTGGCGATGCCAGACTACAGCCACCCTCAACCTCAGCCAGCATGACCCATGTTCAGGGATGCTGGGAGTTGTGGTTCCAAATATCTGAAGAGCCTCAAGGTTAGTAGAAGGGATTCTCCAACACCCTGCTTCCCTGCAGTTTTAAATATAAGCACTGGTATAGTTAATCACGTACGGAAGTTTACCAGTACCCAGTGGAACTCTTGCAACATGGGTGCCCCATGGTGAAGGTTGCGTCTATAATCACAGTGCAGTTTTGGGTGTCTGCAGTGTGCTTGTGTTCTGGGTTCGCCAGCCTTTATTTACCTTTCCTGTTCGGATGATCGGCAGCCACTGCAGCTGGAAGGCATCAGTGGGGTTTGGGCGCACAATTTCCCAGCTGAATGCAGAGGCATAGCATAGGGGGGTGGGGGGGCACATTGCCCCAGGCACTGTTTTTGGAGGGGCGCATGAGCTGTTGCGTCCTTCTCATGCCACTCTCCAGCTGGAGGGTAGCTTGAGAAGGACGCAACAGGCATGCGCCCTGCCAACCATGCGCCGCTTATGCGATTCCCAGAAAGCGGTGCTGGGCTCCCAGGGCGATGTCGGCCCGAATCGGTTGGCTGGGCTCTGCACTGCACAGCTGGGCAGGAGGTGCAGTGCAGCCCTGCTTAGCTCCAGTGGGTGGGGGTCACTCCAGTGGCATGCCCCACCCTCGTGGTGCACTGCATGCACCCACCCACCCCAGGCGCTACCAAAAAATGCTCCGCCACGGCTGAATGGTTATTTATAGCATGGATTCCCCATAGTACTGTACCTACATATACTTCTATGGGAGAAGGCAACTTGGGAGAACTGGCAGAAAATGTTGATTTTGTGGGTAGGGCATTCCTCTTGCCCCTGGCACCCATCAGCCAAGCCTCTGTAGACAGAGACTATGGAGAGGGAAAGCCCTTGTCATAAGGCACTTAGCTAATGTACCGTGTTTTTCTGGGTATAAGACACCCCCATGTATAAGACGCCCCCTATTCTTGGGGACTCCAAATTAAGAAAACACCCCTCAGCACTACCCGTTTATAAGATGAGCCCATAGCTGTCAACCTTCTCTTTTTTTGTGGGAAATTCCCTTATTCCAGCGCCGTTTCCCGCTGCTTCCCGCTGCTATCCCGGATTGTTAGATATCCCGTAGACTGTCCCCGGGACAGGTGAGGCTGCTGATCCCTTATTTTCGAGGCTGCTGATCTCTTATTTTCAAATCTGAAAGTGGCCAGCTATGGACAACCCCCAATTCTAAACCTAATTTTTTGGTAAAAAGAAACCTAGTCTTATACACGGGAAAATACGGTACATTAAACTTATAGAGAGGCTTGAGGCTTATTACTGTGGAGTGATTATGACCTCAAGGTTAAGGTAACCAATGGTAAGCCATCTTCCATTCACCTTTTTCATGATGCAGTTTTTGTTGGTTACCCAAGGGCAGAGGCCTCATAGGCCCAAGGGTAGATCAGCCGGCCCTCCTCCCATCTTTCTGCTCTCTCCCAAGTGTGGCGCTCGAATGCTAGCCGCCGTCTTCTGCCAGAGAGAAACCCCTCTGGGATGGACTGGAACCGTCTCTTTCAAACAGGGCCTTTCCTGGGCAAGGTGAAAAAGCTGGCACTTCAGTAAAGGTCTTTTGAGGGCCCAGGTGTGGATGGACTTGACCATGGGGAACTGGTTAGTGATGCTAGGGAGAATTGTATAGCACCTGAGTCGAAGAAACCCAAACCGAAAGCAAAGCCCCACTACAGCATTTGTGCTTGGTTAGTTCTGAATGAGCCAAGCCGTATTGCTAGTATCCTCTATGCTGTGCAATAAATCAAAGGCTCTTATATGTACGTATTATGAATGTAAATAGTAAAAAAACTACATTTTCCCACTGCAAAATGGTGAGCTATTGTGGTAATCTATAAAACCAAAGCAAAGGGTTTGGCATGAATTTTATGTCCTCGCTGTTAAAGCTGATACCATATTTAACTTCTAGATAGATACCTGTTTGCTCCCCAAAAGAAATAATTTGCATGAGCAGCATAAAGGTTTATTTATGCTTTTAGTATTGGCTTTCTTAACACACACCCCTTCACCACAAGGCCCCTGGGCAGGTTACAACAACATAGCACATTGCAGCTCATATCTTTTTAGCCAAAATATGTTTTATCTCTACTGAGGCCCAGATCCGAAGAACTATGCGTGAGCTCCACACTTTGAAAGGGGTCTGGTAGCTGGTGTTTGCTTGTTGCTCTTTCTTTGTAACATGGCGCTGAAAGGAGTTTTGAATAGCAGACTTGCTTCCACCCTCACCCCCACTATTGCTCTAAAGAGCAGACAGAATGCCTTCCAAGGAAAAACAGGAATAAATAGAAATCCCACTGCCTTTTGGGTTCGCTAACAATAATTTTTGGAACCCATTTTAAGTAATATGGGACACCGTAGATGATGAAAGGTCTTATGTCTGAGGTTTGTAATTCTGAAACTGCAGTTTCCATATTGTTGGTATGAGATAATTTCCAAACTGTGAGAATTGCCACTTGCACCATAACCATATGTGTGTTTACTTGGAAGCAAACTGGTTTGAGACTGATGGTGTGCCAAGTAAACATGATATTGGGGGTAGGTAGGCGGGGAGATCCACTGTCTCTGTGCAACTGGCACATACCACGGAAGTGCAACATGACTAACCAGCCTCAGCGGGGTATGAGGAACATTCATGCAAATCTCTTTTGGGCTAAATGAAATGCCATTCCCTTGACTCCCAATGAGGTTTCTATGTTCTATGTCATTGTTGCACTTGCTTAATGCTCCTTTCACTTATGCTATGAATTGGTTGGATGGATGTATAGTATCACTTGAAGCTCAAACCTTATTTTCTTTATATATCTTGCCATTAAATGCTTTTCAAAGCAATGCAAACAAATGAAACTGCAATGGCTGGTGCTCTTTTTATTTATTTTTTTAGGTTCCTAGCATTAATGGTTTTCATTACCTATAGCAGTGTTTTCCTAATGTGACTTAAGGCATTCGTTAAGGAGGGAAAGCAAGATTTGTTTTTCAGAGGGTTATGAGATGGTTGTTTTGGAGAGGGCTTTCTCGCGTTCTCTTTTTATTTTGCATCTTGATTTTGCGTGTGACACTTATTTCCTTGCCCGTTTCCCCCCCCTCCTTCAACTTTCATCAATCCATGCCCACGTTCTTAGCAGTCCAAGGTAAATATGCCTCAATTGTCTGTGTTCTCTGTGTTGCATGCTAACAGGATTGTTCTGGTCTTAACCTGCTAACGTTAACCATGTCATACTGAGAAGTTTCTGAACTCTCAAGTTATACATAAGAGATGACACGCTAATCATGTTCAATGCATTGGCCCCTACACATTGGTAGACCTACAACAATATGAATAAAGGGATTGTCCTGTAGCTGCCGGATTTCATTCTACTTAAGTATCTTTTGATAGTCTTAATACATGTATAACTTCAGAGCTTCTGGTTTTGTTTTTTGTTTTTTTAAAAAAAACAAATCTGCCAAATTTCTACATCTTTTTTTCTCTTGATGCTCTAGGAGGCTTAGTTTGGTCAGAATTGAGTATGCACTTCCGGAGTTAACTCTGAATGTATTACTTCTGGTAAATGAGTCACCATAGCCACTAGAGGGCCAAGAAAATTTGTGTCCCGGGCTTTTTAGACTCGTCTACCCATCTGAAAACAAAGGGACACATTGGTTGCCAGATGTGAAATGTATTGGCATTATTTTTAGCTGTCGTACCCCACTACAGAAGCAGTTTAGAAGGGGATGCTCTGGGGCAAGGGGGAAAGTCCCATTGCGCCAGCAGACGTCTTTCGGCAACCACAATAACTTAGCTGAATCCTGCCCTACATCTCTTAGTCCAGTTCAGTGCCAGATTTACGTATAAGCTAAACAAGCTACAGCTTAGGGCCCCGTTCTCTTGGGGCCCCCCAAAAAAATTAAAGGAAAAAAACCCTGGATGTACATTTCCAAAGTATAAGATAAAAAACAAATAAAATAAAACCTACATACAGCAACAGCGTTTGTGTTGTGTAGGCTCCTATGATGTAAGTAATGGGCCCCACATATGGCATATATTCAACACAAAAAAAAAAAAAAAACAGCGACAATTTGTTGTTGACAAAGGAGAGCTAGACATATAAAGGACCCCATTATCTTCAGTAGCTTTGGGCCTCATCAAACCTAAATCCGGCCCTGGTCCAGATAGCAGCTAAGGAATGATTGGGAGACAAGTTTTAGCTGGTCTTAATATGCAAGGCAGGTTTCGGTGCATATTGAAGAAATGGAAGCAAAATGTTGCAGGGCAGGGCACACAGGGTGGTGGAACTAAAGAGAGTAAAACTTCAACGAAGCGTTTCATATGGACTTGGACCACAAGTGTGAGTGCTTAAAAGAAAGTTGGTGTTCTTTTCTAAAAGCACCTGTGTGTGTGTTTGACTGACAGTACAGTCAAACCTCTGTTGTCGAACGTAATCCAATCCGGAATTGGGAACGTTCGACTTCCGAAACATTCAGCAACGGAGGCGCGGCTTGTTCGGGTTCCGAAAAACGTTAAAAAACCGGAGCATTTTCTTCCGGGTTTTCAGCATTCAGGAACTGAGGTTTGACTGTACCAGCTGGCAACGCATAAACCTAGTTTAGGAATATTCTTTCATGTTGAGTGGAGACACACACATCTGATTAAAAAGTAGTGAAATAGAAGACTGGACTGACCAGCTGACCTAAACATTCAGCAAAATGGACTCCATCCAGGGACTGTACCACACTGGACTGTAAATGAAGAGGTGGGAAATAATTGTATTTTTTTAAAGTGCTCTCTCTGTGTGCGCACATATGTGCAAGCACAACATCATGAAAAAGGACTAGACTACAACTGCCATCCCCAATGTGCAAATTTTCTACTTGCTGGGAGTTTTCCTAACATAAACAGGGATATTTTAAAAATGAAACTTACCCCCAAGCCCCCACCCTGCCCAGCAATCTTCAATGGCTTTTGTTAAAAGAAGGAAACTTGTGCCTTCCTGGAATGTGTGTGGGAAGTTTTTGTATCTTAAGGTTACCTGTTTGGAGAGTGGGCATGGGTTGTGCTTGCTCTGTAGTATTTTGCCTCCACAATATTTCTTTAACAGTGCCAATCCTCTATTTCAAATTATAAACACACTTATCTCTGTTAAGGAGTCTAAAGGATACCTGTGGTTCTGACCTAGGTTAACCTGCTTCTGTTCAATTCTTCTTATTTCTGTTCACTTGTTTGCTTGCGACTGATACACCTTTATGCTGGTTTATCAATAGTATTTTGTGTATTTCTACTTAAAGTACTAATCCATCTCTCTTAGTTCAGCTCTCTTTTAAGGGAGGCTCTTTCTGTTCACTCATGAATTAGTAACGTCTTTGTTTTTTGCTTAACCATAGAGCAGGGCAAGGGAACCTGGTGCCCTCCAGATGCTGTTGGACTCCAAATCCCACAGCCTCAGCCAGACAGGCCAGCGGGCAGGAATGATGGGAGTTGTAGTCCAATATTTTGAGGGCCACAGATTCTAAAGCTCTGCTGTAGAGACCTTCCTAAATCTTTTCCCCTCTGTGTAAAACCATAGACTTAACTAGTTATTAGTGGCCAAGTGAAGCATAGGTGAGTCAGTGTTGTGGAAACCTAGAAAAGCCCCAGAAATCATATTTTGTCTGAACCCTCTCCAAAAGTGGTAGAAGAATGAGAGAAGTCATCAAAATTGTATTGCTTTGTATAGTCCTGATTTTATATTTTTTAGTAAGGCATGTACACACTCCTACATCTAACCCCATCAGCTCATTGCCAGATCCTCAAGATGCTACACCGACTCAGCAGATCTGAGAGGTGGGAAGCAGCTTGTCAGTTTCATATTGGTGGTGAACCTTGGTCTCAGCATTGTAGCTGTTGGCTCTGTGGCACCAATAATGTGCCCCTGGGCATGTGGATTGCAGAAGGACCATACAAGGGGCATATCTGAGTCAAGGCTAGCAGAGAGCTTTAATATTGCCCATGAGCCTCCTGCACAACATAGTATATGAATTTTCCCTGTTAGCTCTGGAGGTGGGAACGATGATTCAGTCATTTGCCACTATTCATCGCAGTAAGGAGGTGAAGGAGAGCAGGGTGTATCTGCTCACTTCACTAAGTCAAGGAAGCTACAGCTGCTGTGGCTTGAAGTCAGTGCTGCAGTAGCCATGGGAATAATGGGATATTAACCTCACAAACCTTTCATGCAGATCAGTCTTGCCCCATTCGAGTGCCCTCCAGGCATGGGGACTACAACTTCCATCATCTTTGACTATTGGCCATGTTGGCCTGTAGCTGAGTTGACCTGTAGTCCCATACATCTTGAGGGCATGAAGTTGGGGAAAGCTGATGTAGATCACTGGGAATAGTCTTCTCTCTCTCCCCCCATAAGAATTTTCGTAAGTCTGTTGCCTTAAGTATTCAAAACATTCAGTTTCAGGATGTTTGATATATCTCATATTCTGCCCAGGAGACAGAGAGCTTCATGAATGGGACAGTTCCATCTGCTTGCTAACTTACGCTGCTGTGCTAGATTCTTTAGATACCTTCTATAATTCGGAAATTTGAGACAGATGTAGGAGAGACTCTCCAAAGGTGGGTGGGAGATGTTGGTATTCCAACTTGAAGGGCATGGAAGCTGGCATAGAGAACCTAGTAAGGTAGCTCCCGTCCTGAAAACTCCATTTTCGAACCAGCCTAGAGATTCTGCAGTTTTAACTTGAGTATTCCTCTTTTATATTTCAGTTATGCCAAGGGGGATTTGGATTTATCATACATCACTTCCAGAATTGCTGGTATGATAAGATCATCCGTTATCAAATTGCATATTCTAGCTGCTTTTATGAAAACAAAGGCTTGAGCCTCTGCTATCGTTTTTTCCCCTTCTTCCTCCCCAGTGATGTCCTTTCCGGCAGAAGGTGTTGAGTCTGCAATAAAAAATAACATAGAAGACGTGCGGTTGTTCTTAGACTCAAAACATCCCGGACGCTATGCTGTCTACAATCTGTCTCCGAGAACGTACAGACCCTCCAGATTTCACAATAGGGTTTGTAAGCCAGTGCTGCTTTGCCACTGTTCCTTTTGCCATTGCAGCGTCTTCTTCTTTTCCAGTAGGAACTCGTAACCTGGTGCTTCCTTGACATGTGGGAAGCTGTAAGAGTTGCTAGGATGTCCTCTACCTGCTTGGCTTCCCTGTACAAATGAGAGAATATTTTGGGAATGGTTTGGACTGTTTCCAGAATGCTTTTAAAATGTTTTTGGTATTGATGTGTTTAGTGCCCTGGGCTCCTTCAGAAGGAAGGGCAGGATATAAGTTCAATATTATTATTATTATTATTATTATTATTATTATTATTATTATTCTTCTTCTTTCTGGCCTTTGGCCATGTTGGCTGGAGGCTGGCTGAGACTGATGTAAGTTGTAGTCCAAAACATCTGGAAGCCACCAGGTTAGTGCAGTTGTGTGTTCATATTTCACTTCTTTGTGGTTGACTGGTAGCCTCTGGATTTAGATGGGGAAACCTGGGCAGAAATCATCGCTGTGATAGTTCCTCAGTGGCCTTAGGCGAGTCACAAATCCCTCACCCTTCTTGCAGCATTGTAGTAAAATGAAACATTCTGCTTATACCCTGAGCTGCTTGGCTGAAATAAATGATAAAACATGTGAGAGAGACATATTTTATCACACCCTGCTTTCTTATGACAGGGGTGTTTAACTCCTTTCAGAAAATTGGGAAAGGGCGATGTGCAGGTTCTGGTTTCCGAAAAAGCGTGGAAATGGGTTTAGAGCAGCAGTATAAACAGATGCCATGAGACCAAAAGGAGACCTTAAAAAAATATACCTATACCTATATCAGTGCAGCACTTTAATCTAAATTGTGTTATGTTGCTAAATCATGAGGACGGTTGGAAATGTGCAGAAATTCAGCAAGGTTAGCCTAGCATCTTTCTGTAGTACATTCTTAACATCATGAAACAGATGGCAGGTCGTCACATGCCTGCTAAGCTTCTGAGATTCCTTTTATGAAATTTGCAAAATATAATTGAGGGTTCAGAGTCTGAAATAGCACGCCTTGGCTTTGGTCATCTTGTCTGTTTCTGGAGATCTTTTTTGGGGTGGGAGGAGTTGAATATTTATTTAATTTGTTATATAGCAGGCTTGAAAGTTATACAAGTTTCTGATTAACATTAGTTAAATCCATCCACCCCACCCTGTACTGTCTCTAAAACAGGTGTCTGAATGTGGCTGGCCAGCAAGGCGTTCGCCAAACCTTCAAAACCTTTATAGCATTTGCAAGAACATGCATTTATGGCTGAAGCAAGACCCAAAGAACGTTTGCATTGTGCACTGCCTTGTAAGTAGCAACAGGTCTTGGAATGCCCCTGTAGCTCCAACAATACAAGAAAGTTGGAAAGAAATGTTGACTCAAAATCCTCCATGGATGGATAGGTTGAGTGAGTTGGAGGAGTGGGAGCAAATAGAATGGTTTTAAAAACTAAGCGTCGTAGATTGCAAAGAGAAGAGAGATACCATAACATAAGAGTCAACATTTGAAAGGTGATAGGATAGGATTGGAGGAGAAACCACTGAGCAGCTGATCCACTTGGAATTTCAACTCCACCACCACCCCCAAACCCGGTTAAACGTATACAGAAAATGGGGGATTTGAAGTAATATGGAAGTTGGGACTTAACCAAACTGCATCAGAATGTCTAAGGAGTATCTGTACTCTGTTCCTGTCACTGGAACAAAGAGAGCTTTCTTCCTCCCTCACAGACCAGAGCTTGTGCCTAATTTCTCGTGAATTCGGTAGTGGACTTGTGACATTTCTTTGATTGAAAACATTATCCAAGAGCTGGTATATAATAAATGACATTTTCCCATCAATAGCTACTGTTCCTACCCTTGTATCTTTTTTTTTTTTTTTGGTAGGACGGAAGAGCAGCATCAGCCGTCGTCGTGTGTTCTTTCTTATGTTTCTGCCGTCTGTTCACTACGGCTGAAGCCGCTGTTTATATGTTTAGCATGAAGCGCTGCCCACCAGGCATTTGGCCATCCCATAAGAGGTGAGCAGCTGTTCAATGAAGCTGTGTTCTCTTTTTTTCTTTTCTTTTTTGCAGAAGCCCTGATGTATGTGTAATGGTTCTAGGGGTTGCTCGTGCGTAAGCTGGTGCCAACACCTGGCTGGGTTGCCTGAGTGAACCTTTCCTGTCTGAGCAGCCACTCACCCGTGGCTGTCTCAATCGCTGGCAGAATCCATCAGTGGGCGTTTCTTAAACTTCTTCCAGCAAAGAAGCTCTTTGACGCCCAGTCTCCTCCTACTCTCCCTGCGCGGAAGCCTTCTGCGCAAGGAGGGCGTAGGCAGCAGAGGACCCTTCCTCTCCCCGCTGGTCCCCGGCAAGGAGTCATGTGACCGCCTCGCTGATTCCCCCATCTGCCCCCCTTCTCCACTGGAGCTAAGCTGATTCCCTTCCCCAGAAGATGGGCTGCCTCTCCCAATCCCGGGACGCTCTCTGGGATCCCTCTGGAGCTTGCTCTCTCCCTCCGGCACTGATGGCAGTTCCCTGACAGTATGTTATGAAAATGGAGATAGATGGAAGATTTAAAACAGAAAGACCGGGGGGGGGGGAGTGGTGCATCTCATGCAGACATTACACACTACATTGATTTTTTTGAATTGCATCAAGGAGCTCTACCTCTCCCACCTCCGGCTAAGCCTAAATATATTGGGGGCCCTATTATAGATGTGAATGGCAGCCGGGGCTCTGTGAGGATCAGAGTCCAGCTGGCATGGCCCTCATTTCCAGTGTGGTGTAGTGGTTAAGAGCAGTAGACTTGTAATCTGGTGAACCGGGTTTGCGTCTCTGCTCCTCCACATGCAGCTGCTGGGTGACCTTGGGCCAGTCACACTTCTCTGAAGTCTCTCAGCCCCACTCACCTCACAGAGTGTTTGTTGTGGGCGAGGAAGGGAAAGGAGATTGTTAGCCGCTTTGAGACTCCTTAGGGTAGTGATAAAGCGGGATGTCAAATCCAAACTCTTATTCTTCTCTTCTTCTTCCATTGATAGGACTTTAATATCTGTGTAGTGCTTACTTGAAAGCACTTCACAGGCTAGCTGCATGATCCAGTGTGGTTGGCTCATTCTTTAGTGAGCAGAAAACAAGTGACACCTGCCACTCACCTGTTTCCCTGGAATAATTGCTGTTTGCCCCAAGCAAGTAGCAAACTATGCAGGAGTTGCAAAATATGGCCCCTTTTCTGTAAAGAGTCAATAATTATTTGTGTGAGCTTTAACTGTGCCCTATTAGATATGCAGGGACGCGGGTGGCGCTGTGGGTAAAACCTCAGCGCCTAGGACTTGCCGATCGTCAGGTCGGCGGTTCGAATCCCCGCGGCGGGGTGCGCTCCCGTCGTTCGGTCCCAGCGCCTGCCAACCTAGCAGTTCGAAAGCACTCTCGTGTGCAAGTAGATAAATAGGGACCGCTTACTAGCGGGAAGGTAAACGGCGTTTCCGTGTGCTGCGCTGGCTCGCCAGATGCAGCTTGTCACGCTGGCCACGTGACCCGGAAGTGTCTGCGGACAGCGCTGGCCCCCGGCCTCTTAAGTGAGATGGGCGCACAACCCTAGAGTCTGGCAAGACTGGCCCGTACGGGCAGGGGTACCTTTACCTTTTATTAGATATGCATTCAGTAAGGTACACTTGTAAATAGCCACTTGTTTGACTAACCATGACATGTAAAATCTCAATCATTTTATTTCCCAAAGTTAAAACCATGCTCAAGGGGGCTTACAATATGTAAAAAAAATATGTAACTGCAAACATAACAGAAGTAGTCATAAACAAAACATTGAAAAGCACACAAAGTGAACGATTTCCACATAAAACATAAGAGTAAAAGTATAAAGATACAGAAAATTAAAATCAACAACAGTACCTCAGCCCAAGAGTCTGTTCAGCTGCCTCAGTTTTTGTGGCTGGAGTTAGCCAGGGCCCCATTCTTCCAGGCTAGGTGGAAAAAGGGCCTGCAAGGCAGAGAACTGGTCTTCTAGGACTCATTTCCCTGGGCAGGGAAGCGTTAAAAAAATTGAAGAGAACTGCCCTTTTATTCTTTTCAGATAATCTGTGGGCCTCAAATGTTGCCATGTGACTCATGTGGCTAGAGGGAGCAGGGAAGTGTTCCAATGGACTAGAAACTTTTTGTGGACTTGCAAGGCTGTGAACGACCAACCAGGGTGTGCAGTGTTGAGTTCATAGTTTCACTGACTCGAAGCATTGCGTTGTTTGACTTCTGCTGCGTCCTTGTTTCCACAGATATATAGAGTACATGTGCGACATGATGGCTGAAGAGCCCATCATCCCTCACAGCAAGCCAATCCTCATCAAGTCCATTGTCATGACTCCAGTCCCTCAGTTCAACAAGCAGCGCAATGGCTGCAGGCCTTTCTGTGAAGTTTATGTCGGGGACGAAAGAGCAGCCACTACCTCACAAGAATATGATAAAATGAAGTAAGTGGGTAGCGAGGCCTGAGTTTCTCGGTGATCCATGTTAATGTCATCTACAGTCCAGGCAGAAACTTCCCACTTAGCTTTCTCATCCTTAGCTTTCTTGTGTAGCAACTTGTGAGTAGCCCAGCTTCCTTTAAAACGTTCCTGCGAGAAGGAATAGGAGCCCCTTGTGCGTAGCTTGATGCAAGTTGCGTAGCCTTGCTGCCGCAACCCACCGTCTCGCACCCGCTGTGCTCCTTGAGGGTGGAGGAAATCAAATTGTAACCAGTTACAGTGGTACTGCGGTTCTCAAACATAATCTGTTCTGTAAGACCGTTCAGCTTCCAAAACGTTCGAAAACAGAGGTGCAAATTGCAGTCTGCAAATTGCGTTCGGAAATTGAAAAAACACACAGCGGAAGGTGTTTGACTTCCAAGGCACATTCGAAAACAGAAGCATTTACTTCTGGGTTTTCGGTGTTCGGGTTCTAAAACATTCGTCAACGGAGATGTTTGAGAACTGAGCCTGGCACCCTCCAGATATTGCTGGACTACAGTTCCCATCATCCCTGACGTCTGGCCGTGGTAGCAGGGGATGATTGAAGTTGGAGACCGACAACATCTGAGGGAGCGGGTCTGCGCATTCCCCCACCTGTGCCGTAATGTTTCTAAATTGCACTTCTGCATATTGACGTGCGATGCCTGGTTTTTCTCCCTCTCCCTTAGGGATTTTAAGATGGAAGATGGCAAAGCTTTGATCCCGTTAGGCATAACAGTCCAAGGAGATGTTCTCATTGTTATCTATCATGCCAGGTCCACTTTGGGTGGCAGACTCCAAGCCAAGGTAAGCTGAAAAGATAGAACTGTATTTTATTTTATTTTGGTACGGAACTCCGCTGGGGTTCTTGAGGGATATTTTTACTTGCCATAGCACCTAATTCCTATTTCGGGCAATGCATTTGCCCACATGGCTGGACAAGACTGATTATAGCTGCCCCACATCTGGAAAAGCAGAAGAGGAGATAATGCTTCACATGCTTTTAATAAATTATAGAAGTAACAAAGGGATTTCACTGGCCAAAGTCACTAATAATATCAGCAGGCAGGGAATATCTCTGGTGCAGTGCACGATATTGCATAACATTAATTGCTTCATTTCACATTATTTCTATTATATCTTATTTGTTTAATTAATTTTAGGTATTTAGATACCGCTCAATGTTCAGAATTTATATGTGGTGTTCATAAAACCTTTTTTTAAAATAAAATAAAATACAGATAATGAGAACAACTTAAAATTCATCACAAATACAGAAATCATGTCCTGTCCTTTTCTTTCTTTCTTTGTATTGCTTTGCAAGATGGCATCAATGAAGATGTTCCAGATCCAGTTTCATACAGGATTTGTCCCACGGAATGCCACTACTGTGAAATTTGCGAAGTACGTTGATAACCTGTTTGGTGATAACTTTCCCCAGCATAATGACAACAAGTACTCTCACTTTAACTGCAGAAGTAGTTTTGCAGTCGTGTGTGTGTGTGTGTGTGTGTGTGTGTGTGTTTTTAAAACTGTAGCTTTCTCTTTAACACTCTTCTTTAGCTGTGTACGGTAGTACCTCTGGCTACAAACTTAATTCGTTCCGGAGGTCCGTTCTTAACCTGAAACCGTTCTTAACCTGAGGTACCACTTTAGCTAATGGGGCCTCCTGTTGCCGCCATGCGATTTCTGTTCTCATCCTGAGGTAAAGTTCTTAACCTGAGGTACTACTTCCGGGTTAGCGGAGTCTGTAACCCGAGATGTTTGTAACCCGAGATGTTTGTAACCCGAGGTACCACTGTACTTTGTCTCTGACCTATCACAGCATTGTAACGTGAACTGGAATTAAGGGTTCAGCCTCAGGCTGCAGATTGCATGGCTCAGCCCCTTTCCATCCTGTGAGCAGAGTCTCCCCACCAGAGCTGTTTGTTGCTTCTGACAACTCCAAATATGGGTTAAGCGGGTAAACCTGTGGGCACTCTGCATTTGGGGCTCCAAAAATTATTCATGAGCTGCTACAAGTTGGCATTGACCCACGTTGATGATTGTGAGCATAATAACCAAACACATGGGTGGGTAAGGCGAGTTTGTATCAGTATACGTGACCTAAGAAAGTGGATCTTTGATCAGGACAACCAAGACAGAGCATACATTATGGCTGCCTGTTATTCTGTTTGGTACCCCCAAATCAAGATCAACCACTCAAGGCCCCATTACCTCGAGACACTGACTTCCCCACAGCTGTGTAGGGCGTTTGTTGGACTAAGGTTCCAACAGGTGCCCTCAGTGTGTTTAGAGGGGAGATACCTGGGAATTCTCCCTATGGAACGCAGGTGCATTTATGGATGCAATCAGGTTGAGGATGTTGTGCATAACCTGCTGCTTTGTCCCTTATATTCAATGCCAGATAAATTTTTTTATCACCTGTTTTATCTTGACTATCTCTCAGACCAGTCCCCCCAGGAGGTGACAGCTGAGTTCCTAGCTGATAAAGATATCCCAAGTAACAAATCTGGTAGCCAAGTTAGCTCTGGCAGCTAAGAAGCTCTGTTCTAGATATGTTAAAAAAGGTAAAGGACCCCTGACAGTTAAGTCCAGTTGCGAACAACTCTGGGGTTGCAGCGCTCATCTCGCTTTACTGGCCGAGGGAGCCGATGTTTGTCCACAGACAATTTTTTCAGGTCATGTAGCCAGCATGACTAAACTGCTTCTGGTGAAACCAGAGCAGCGCACGGAAATGCCATTTACCTTCTGGCTGAAGCAGTACCTATTTATCTACTTGCACTTTACGTTCTTTCGAACTGCTAGGTTGGCAGGATCTGGGGACCGAGCAACAGGAGCTCACCCCGTCACGGGGATTCGAACCACCGACCTTCCGATCGGCAAGCCCTTGGCTCAGTGGTTTAGACCACAGCGCCACCCGAGTCCCCTAGATATGTTAATGCTTCCTAATTTTAAAACCTCATGCTGTAAGTTTTTATGTTTTTAGCTTTTATAGGTCATGTTGTGTGATTTCAGCTTTGTTCTTATCATGTGCTGTTCATTGTAAAGGCCTTTGACTATATACAATTGATTGATTGATTGATTGATTGATTGAATTTGTATCCCATTGGCTTCACTGTGGCTTGCACAGAATACCTTCCCTGTGGATTGTGGTCTAATTCATTGCCGTCGTCAACTTGTGTAAAATTGCTGCAGGTACGATCTGGATGCCTGTGACATTCAAGAGAAATATCCGGACTTGTTCCAAGTGAATCTGGAAGTTGAAGTAGAGCCTTGGGACAGGCCCAGCACTGAGCGAGCCCCCTGGGATAACTTGAACACCAAGGGTCTAAATCCCAAGATCCTTTTCTCCAGCCGGGAAGAGCAGCAAGAAATATTAACAAAATTTGGTAATGAGAAAAATGCATCCGATTTTCTATTTGAGCGTTTTCAAAGGCTTCCGTTTCATATTGTGGGGGGATTTATCTCCCCACCCCACCCTGCTCCACCCCATTGCTTTGTTTTTACCACGAGCTCTCATTTCTTCCATCTCCCTAATAGGTGGCAGGTTCCTAAATTTCTTGCATTTGAACTTTTTGCCTGTTAGGTAAGCCCGAGCTACCTAGACAACCGGGGTCAACTGCCCAGTATGAAGCTGAAGCCTCCAAGTCAGAATCATCTCCAGAAGGTGCTCCCATGGAGTCGGACTCCCCGCCCAGCGGCAGTGCGGAGGCAGATTTCTTCCACACACTGGACTGGCAAGGTAGGGCAAACCAATGGCTTCATAGCACTTCTCTGGTTGCTCCTGTGCTGCCTGTTGCTTGACACCAGCCTTGCTCTAGGCCTGTTTGCTACAGTAGTCATCTTGACATCAGTGTGTTCAACCTCTGTGTACTCAAGTCCCACAAAAGTAAAAAAAAAATAAAAAATTCTGGGCTGAGAAAAGCTGAAGTCTGCAATGCTGACTAGCTACCAAGTAAGAGGTTGTCCCCAAGGACCCTGTGTTGATATAGGGGTCTCAGGGTGGTGGTGGTGTCCACCTGCGTTCCTTTCTCCTTTCTGGCTGGACCTCAATTCCCCTCCCTCCCCCCCCCCCCCCGCAGCAGAAGGGTCCTTCTGTGTGAAATTGTCCAAATCCCACAAAAAAGCCCTGCTCCTTCAGAACTGCAGCGTTCAGGCAGGTCCAATTTGTGGGCAGCTCAGTCTTCCATCATTTCTGTGCAAAGGATCTGGAATGATAGTGCTTAAAATTCCTCCATCCCACCGTGAAATTTGAGTGTTTGTAGGAGGTCTGGTGGGGGGAGAGTTTCAAAGGAATATTCCCCAGCAAATAAAAGTCAGGATTTGTCTTCGCTTCCTTCACTAGAGAGTAACAATTTTGCTTTCTGGGGTTCCTGTGGGTTTTGGTGGATACGGGCTTCCAGAGCTGCTGTCTTGCCATAAGGCCCGTGTCCTGAAACAATGTGCTCCTGTGCCATAAATGCCAGCAATTAGAGGCCCTGTGCTATAGCCAGTCTCCTCTTCCCATCATGATTGCCAATGCAGAAGCAAAAGAAGAGCTATGGAGTGACTGAGGTCCACAGCACTAGGGCTTGGCATCAAGCCCATTTGAGGAATGCGGGTTGGGACCTTGGCTGCCCATGCCTTTGGCCCTTGGCTTAATTTTACGTGGTCCTTGGCTTTGTGGCACACTTATGGCAAGGAAGGGAAAAGGGCCTTACCAGATTTTGACTCTTGCTCCTCCCACCACCATCATGTAGCCTTTGATGGCTTACCCCCAAAGGAACATGTCCATTGGTGGAGCAAAGGTTTCCCATCCCCGCCTTACTCCATTCATCCAGTAAAAGTTGTTGCAGACTGGTGGAATAGCACCATTACAGTAAACCTGTTGCAAGAAGGTGTCATGTCCTTCTCTTCACCCAACAGAAGGCAAAAGTTCCGAAGCGGCGCCTGAGGGACCCTTCCCCAAAGAGAGACCTCGGTTGGTGGAGGAAAGGGACGACAGCGAACCTTCTGACGAGGAATTTGCTGCCTTTCCCAGTGAGGTCAGACCAGTTGAGGAAATGGTGAAACACGCCCTGGAAAAAGAGGACGGTGAGCCGCTGTTTGAAGCTGATTTTGACACTCCCACTGGTCAGCCGGAAGAGACTCCCCCAGAAGACAGCGTTGACTTGCTTGGGCTGGATTCAGAAGCTCCCCCAGAGCTGCTGCAGCCTCCTTCGGAGATGAAGAGCTCCTCCAGCAACGCAGACTTGTTGAGCGAACTGTTTGTTGGCGGTGCCCCGGAGAGTTCGGAAGAATCTACCGCGGACCTTCTAGGAGGGGGAGCAGAATTCTTCTTTGGTGGCCAACCACAGCCCTCTACGCATCCCCACCAGAGTAGTGCCCCCTCGGCGGGAGCCACCTCTTCTTCTGCAGGTACGTAACTGGGCCTTTCCTTTCAGTGGAATTCTGATGAGCAGTTGGGTCCACTGCCATCCTAGAAGTGTACACAATAAGTCCGCACACACGGACTGTTGAGAACTGTAGAGCACTTCTACTTTAATTTTTAGATCGGTTTCCAGATGGCTCTGGCGGGTTTCTGGCTGGCACTCTTGTCAAAGCCCTGGCTGAGCTCTGGAACATTTGAATGGCTCGGGCTTCCATCAAGTGGCTGGTGACCCAGCTGTGCCTCTGTCTCATCAGGGATAGCCTAGCTTGTGTCGTCTATGCTCTGGTAATCTCTAGGTTAGATTACTACAATGCATTCATTACACATGGGGTTGCCTCTGAAGATGGTTCGGAAACTTCAGATGGTGCAAAATCCTGTGGCCGGGTTGCTCTATGGGGCAAGACAGTTTGAGCATATTACACTGATCTTGGCCCGTCTGCAGTGGCGGCCAGTTAGTTTCCAGGCCCAATTCAAAGTGCTGGTTTTGACCTATAAAGCCTTAAACAGCTCAGAACTGCAAACTGCTTCTCTCCATATGAACCTGCCTGGACCCTGAGATTATCCTCTGAGGCCCTTCTTCATGTGCCTCCTCCGCGAGAGGTCCAGAGGGTGGCAGCATGAGAAGGGGCCTTTTCTGCAGTGGCTCCCCACTTGTGAAATGCTTTCCCCATTCCTTATCTATTTTTAGGTGCCAGACAAAAAACATTCCTCTTCAACCAGGCCTTTGGCTGACTAAAATCTTATACCACTTTTAAAGATATTTGTGTGTGTGTGTGTGTGAAGAGGATTATTAGTTTGTGGGTTTTCTTCTTGTTTTTATCATGTCCTTTGTGTTTTTTATATTGTATTTTTGTGTTGTGAACTGCCCTGAGATCTATGGATAAAGGGCAGTATACACATTTAATTAATAATGATAATAATCTTGCAGATGCCATGATCTGTCTCCAAAGGAGAAGGGCGAATTACAGGATGGAGGCAATCTCACGTGCCAGTAAACCACAGTGCAGTCTGATTCAGCTGTTGCCTTCTTCACAGAGTAATGTGCATTGGGGGAGGTGCTTCCTCCCGTAGGAAACATAGAAAGAGCCTTCTGGATCACTTTTTGCTAGGCAGTCTCTCCGGTGGAGTTAAATAATTTGTTTGGGACTGGCCACACTTCCAGAGGCTCCCAAAACTCACCAGTGAGCTGTGACTTGCAGTTTGGCTGTTGGCCATCTAATAAGCCAATCTGCTTTCTGGATGCTGAATGATTCCTTGAAACAAGAAGCATCCACTTGGATTAAATGCCTAGAGCAGGCATGGTCAAACTTGGCCCTCCAGATGTTTTGGGACTACAGTTCCCATCATCCCTGACCACTGGTCCTGTTAGCTAGGGATGATGGGATTTGTAGTCCCAAAACATCTGGAGGGTCGAGTTTGGTCATGTCTGGTGTAGAGGTTGTGCGCTGGGAGAAAGCGGGAGGAATGGACCCCCTAGTTTAGAATGGTTTGTCTTCATGTGGAATTTAATAAGTGGTGTTTTCTGTTCAAGAGGCCATTTACTTTTTAAAAAAGTTTAAGCACATTTGGTAGAGCATGAGACTCTTAATCTCAGAGTCGTGGGGTGAACTCGATGACTTTCATGGTCCCTTCCAGCTCTGTGATTCTGTGATCATCATAAACGTTAATTATTGGGTCTTCCAATTGCTGGAAATGCAGTTGTAACATTGAAATATTTCCTTAACACTAGGGCGTGGGGGCAGGTTGTGGAAGGCAAGAGCAGCATGGGTTTGTCATATGACCATTCCCAGAGGAGGACCAAACAAACCCGCTTTGGGGAAGCGTCTTGTTCCGTTGCTTGTTAATATACATCTTGACGTCGCAGGAGAGAGCAACAGTGCTGTGATTGTTTTGAGTGCTTCCAGATAGGGGATTGCACGTGGGCCTCAGCTGGCTCTGAGAATTCGCTTGCTCATTATTGAATTCCTGTTGAAGCGTGATCAAAACTAGCGGTGCCAGGGGCGGTAGCTTTAACTACCTGCTTGCATCGGAAATAAAGAGCTGGTGCGATGGGGAGGTGTTGCCTAAAACAGGCAGATTCCTTTTCTGTGGTCGCATTCAAAATGGACTCAGTTGAGCTCTAGCTTCGACGGGTGGGTGTGTCAGAACCGGCCGGGCTCTAAAAGCATCTTGGCCTGTGAATACAGCCCTGTGGCAAGGTAAGAGTGTCAGCCAGGCTCCCTGCTGGCCATTGCTTGCCACTCCCTGCTAACTATAAATACTGTCCTCTGAGCAGCTCCAATTAGCTGCTGCTTGACAGTGCTCAGTGAAAGACCTTCCGGCTGGAGACTGCCTTTTTGGCATCCTTCCGTTTATTTCACAGCCTTTGCAGTCACTGCTCTTTAAAAAAAAAATTAAAAGGAAAGGGAAAAAAAGATCAGCAATGCCTTCCATTGTGCAGACTGGTACAGTATGGCTTTTTAAATGTTCCTATTAGGGGTAGCAAGTCCACTTGGGTAACTGTTTCTGCTAGGGGAATCTGCCAGCTTGAAAAACTTTCCACTAACTTCAGTTTGCAACTTGATTTGCTTGGGTGGAATTGTTACTGGGCTTGTGTGGTTGATGTGACGTCGTAGGGTTTGCTTTGTTTTTTCTTTATAGGGAGAAAAGGGGGGACTTTACAGGCAGCAGATCGTCGTTCTTCTTGTTGGTGATTGGCAGAAATCCTTGTGTTGTGCAATAGCGTCTAAACCCCAGTGACAGGGGTGGGTGGCAGAGGGCAGAGTTGTGCTAGTGTGCTTGGAATCAAGATACCCTAAATAGTTTTGTGTGCCGCGTTCTCATATTGCCCATGACTTCTTCTTTTTCATCGGATGTCTTGAAGCATCTCAAGTAACACCAATAATGCTGTGTTTTGTCTCCAGCTGACCCGTTTGACCCATTCACAGTCTCCTCGGGTTCCGACAATCCGACTCTTACTGGCCCCGATCTATTTGGTGACTTCCTTAGTCCGAATGAACCAACCGCACCTGGCACATTTCCTTCCACACACAGCGCACCACCACCTTCCTCTAGCACAGACTTCCTTAATTTAGGTAAGTGCATGTTTCATGTGCCTTCCTCACTCCCCCTCTTCCCCCGACAGTCACATAGCCTGTTGAGTGACATGCTCCACTCAGATTAGTCAAGGTGGATTAATGTCTAACGGATCGACTTGGTGGTGTTGCTATTTTAACAAGCTTTGTGTCACAGGTGTATGGTTATCTTTCCCCCTGTAACATAGCTAAAGTTTTGCTAATTTGCCCTTTTACAAGCTCCTTTTCGGTGAAGATATTTGAAATTGGGTTCCCAGCACATCGTATTTCAAAATTATTAAACCCCCTTGCCACTGTTCCCCAGCCAATATTCTGGGATATTCAGTGTATGTTGCCATACAAACTGTCACACACTTAGCTGTGAAATTGTGGGCAAACTTATTCCATGCTTTGAGTTAGCATTAAGGCATGAAATTGACCACTAGCTGCAGAAGTTCATTTCAGCTAGAATGATAGAACAAATCAGCTTGTTGATTTTCAACACTCTCTATGTGCTGGCATCCTTAACCATTTGTGTCTTGTAACAACATTTTGTACTGCCTGGCACTTATAGATTGCATATCCCTTTAACTAGGAGCTAATAATTTAAGTACTATCTTCTGTATGGTGTAGGAAGTCTGATAGCACTTTTTTCAGTTTAAATAAAGCAAGCTAGAAGATAATGGCTCGGTCCCGACTAACAGCACAACCCCAACCATATCTACTCAGAAGTAAGGCCTATTGAATTCAGCAGGATTTACTCCCAGGAATTGGGATTACAGCCTAAATTAGTTGACTTGGACATGGAACTTAAGTTCAGCTAACTTAGATTTGAAATCAAATGCTTGAGAACTAGTGGTGGTAACTATTAATTGTTTGGCAAAACAGTTCCTTTAGGCCGGAAAAGGTAAAGGAGGTGGAGATACATAAATGCAGAGTTTTAGATCTCTGAAATCATGAAGGCAAACATAAATAACTATGCCGTAATATTAAAAAGCAAATTGTCTGCAGACTTGTAACTGTTTGTATCCCATTTTGAATTCCTCTGACTGTCTTCTTTTCATTCTGATTAAAAAACAAACCTGAAGAATTGAATGCAGACATCTGTGGCAATTATGGCATAGGCACTTGGTTTTAATCAAATCAGCAAGAATGCTATGAATTCAGTGTGCTGTACACAGATCTGATCAAATGCCCGCTGCACACAGGAGGACTCTCATTTTCTTCTGTGCTAAGAAAATGCATTTCCCCCCAGCTCATTTAAGGAAAGTGGAGAAAACTGCAAGTTGAAGCCACTGGGCCGACTTTGCAATTGCTTTTTACTATACGCATGTGTGTTTCCACCATAGGCACAGGGAAATGAGAGATCAGGTCGCAGCTCTTTCCCCCCTTTTCCTTACTGATTTATTAGAATCCTGTTGTGTGCGAAAATGATGTGGGATAGTGTCTCTGTGTTGGAGCACAACATCAATGCCGCTCAACACACAAAAAAAGCTCTTGCTGAAGGCTTGCATGTGTGGGTGTTAACAGGATGTGTAAAATAGCCCTGATCTCCTACTTGTAACAAGTCTGAACTCTTAGAAGAAGTACGCACACATTTGTTGTTCAGGCTTCTCTCCTGATTAAACCTAAAAATAGCTGCTTGTGGAATCAGGAAGAGATCTCTCTGCCGACTTAATGGCACACAAATAGCACCTGCTCTTGTACCTAGATAAAGATGCACAGAGGCTTTCTAAAATTATCAGCTGTGGGTCACTGGATGAGATTTGCTGGCACGTTGGGCAGTGACCTCTGTGGTTGCCGTGAGCATCGTTGGGATCATGCTTAGGTTGACAGGCGCCGGCACAGGAAGAGGAAGAAATTGGGAAGGGGGAGGGGTGGGGAACCTGGCTTGGAGGAGGAGAAGATCTCCTCCTTCTCTCACTTTGGAAGCAGGAGCTGGGATGCCAGCTCTCCTACCCCCCAACCTCCTTGTGGAGACTTGAGGCTGGGGAGCTTTGATCAACCGAATGAGGAAGCTGGAGCAGCTTTGGTCAAGGGCTGTGCCGGATTTACCTACAGTGGTACCTCGGGTTAAGAACTTAATTTGTTCTTCAGGTCCGTTCTTAACCTGAAACTGTTCTTAACCTGAGGTACCACTTTAGCTAATGGAGCCTCCCGCTGCCGCCGTGTGATTTCTGTTCTCATCCTGAGGTAAAGTTCTTAACCTGAGGTACTATTTCTGGGTTAGCAGAGTCTGTAACCGGAAGCGTCTGTAACCCGAGGTACCACTGTATATATAGGCTAAACAAGCTATAGCTTAGGGCCCCACTTTCTCGGAGGCCCCCAAAAATTTAGAGGGGGGAAAAACTGGATGTACATTTCCAAAATATAAGATAAAAAAACCTACATACAGCAATAGTGTTTTGTGTTGTGTAGGCTCCCATTTGTCATGTGCAAATAGCTTTAGATACCTATTAGGTCCATAACTTACCCTTTATCATGTATTCAACACAAAAAACAGTGGCAATTTGTTGTTGACAAAGGACAGCTGGACATATAAAGGGCCCCATTACCTTCAGTAGCTTAGGGCCTCATCAAACCTAAATCCAGCCCTGGTCCAGGGTGCAGCCTTGTTGTGTAAAACCAGATGTCACCTTTGCAGGGGGAAGAAGACCCAGCCATTGCAAAAGAGTGCACACTTGCAGCCTCAACATTCCCGCAAGGCGTGAGAAACTTGAGAGGGAGCGCGCCCCTTTTCAGCTTTGAAAGCTTGGAGCGGGGACTTGTTGGGACATAGGTTGCTTCTGTCTGGTTCTGAACTTAACAACAACAACAACATATTATTTGTACCCCCCCCCCAATCTGACTGGGTTGTCCGCCACTCTGGGCAGCTTCCAGCATATATAAAAACATAGTAAAAGATTAAAAAGCTTCCTTATACGGGGCTTCCTTCAGATGTCTTACCAGCGAGAAGGCCTCAAGGGCACAATATTTGCAGGTGGGCAAATTGTTCAATTTGACGTAAGCCGGGTTTCTGTTTCATGGGCCATTCTGACAGGACCAAGGCAATGCATGAATTAAACAAACTTAAAAAGCCATTACTGAAGCGGTCATCTATTCATGCCTCAGTGTACCATCCCAGCACAAGTTATCTCCTTGGCTGATAGTGAAACCAAGGTTTTCACATTGTCAAGTTGCTCTTATGATCTTGTTTCAAGACTTACATGTTTTCCATTACCAGCTTCTGAAAATAACTTACAGTGGTTTTCTGTGAAATTCTTCTGGCGACTGTTTTTGTTTAGTCTGTTTGGTGTCGTTGTATTATGATTTACTAGTACTGTTGTCCTTTTTAATCACAAAAGATGTGATTAATAGGAGTTGCAATGTGAAGTGTGGACGTTATAGTGGAAATTCTCATTGACTGAGCAATGCATGAAATCCCTAAACTGAATTAGCATTTCTTTGATACCATTTGGAGACTTATACATATTGCCCAGTCTACAAGATTCTCTGCATATGCTGCCAAGTGCATGCACATTCTCTGTTGTGTTGGCCTACATGCATACTGAATGGTCATGTACAGAATTCTGCTTAGTCACATTTCCCATTCATATCTTATTAACTCATACATCTACAGTTGCCTTAGGTTGAGACAGATCCTTATTCCATCTACCTCAATATTGTCTTTTCCAAAGTTGGAACAGTCCCAGACTCCTCAGTGTTGCGTTCTCTAGAAAGACTGGCCACCAAATTTGTGGTCCTGCATAAGAGCTCCTAAGGTGGTGAACGCAAGGAGACAAATCTTAAATGGAATCACCATGCCTCCTCTAGATGGCGGTGGCTGGATTGCGAAGCGATAGTATGTGTATCAGTCTTAGACGGGCTTAAATCTTATGTCATGCTGAACCTGTGTCTTCCTCCTCAGGACATCCTGGTTGTTGTCTTTAATTAGAGAATTAAAAGATCTTCAGAGCACAGTTGTCTTAAGGCTTTGCTGGAGATCTGTTAGTACAGCAGTGACAGAGATTTCTGCTATTGGGGCTTACAGCATAAATGTAATGCTCAGTGTCTTTTCTTAAATGATCTCTGTACACATACCCATTTTAACAGTGAACAGTAGTTGTGATATCCGTGCTCTAAATAAATACTTGACATAAGCTTAATAAGCTTTGGGTGCAAGTTACAGTGGTACCTCGGGTTACATACGTTTCAGGTTACATACGCTTCAGGTTACAGACTCCGCTAACCCAGAAATAGTGCTTCAGGTTAAGAACTTTGCTTCAGGATGAGAACAGAAATCGTGCTCCAGCGAGGCCCCATTAGCTAAAGTGGTGCTTCAGGTTAAGAACAGTTTCAGGTTAAGTACGGACTTCCGGAACGAATTAAGTACTTAACCTGAGGTAGCACTGTACTAAACATTTCATCATGAGCAGGAGTAAGCAACATGTGGAACTGTGTTCTGTAAAGCCTGATGTGTCACCTTGTCCAGTGTTCGAAATTAGCCAGGTAACAGGCACATTTTGTACCTTTCGACTGACCACTTGCGACCAAGTGAGGATTCATGGGTGCCAGGGTGGTGCCTGACATCTCCGCCATCTGGAGGTGCATGTCTTGGGATCATTGGATCTGGACTGTTTTCACACACAAATGCCCCATCCTGTGGAATTCTATCAGTTATATTTTATCTGCACAGTTGGAATGGATTTCAGGAGCCAAAATGCTTTTTCTGTGCAGCCTGAGCAATTGCCATTAAGAAAAAGAAATTGGAATAGCAATAGGCCAATACAGTGGTACCTCGGGTTAACTACTTAATTCATTCTGGAGGGCCGTTCTTAACCTTCAACTGTTCTTAACCTGAAGCACCACTTTAGTTAATGGGGCCTCCTGCTCCGCCACACCGCCAGAGCACAATTTCTGTTCCCATCCTGAAGCAAAGTTCTTAACCCGAGGTACTATTTCTGGGTTAGCGGAGTCTGTAACCTGAAGCGTATGTAACCTGAGGTACCACTGTAATAGGTATTCAACGCTGATAATAGAAAGTGGAATTCAATTAGCTGTTTAATATAGGATTGTATCCAATATTAGTCATACTCTGAGTAAACTCAGAGTGTATGTAACCTGAAGCGTATGTAACCCGAGATACCACTGTATATATGTGGACTGTCCCTAGATAAGGTGACTGTTCTTCTTGAAGTTCTCAAAGCTCTTCACCTAGCTCAAGGTTATCATCTGAACTAGCCAGATGTTTAACTGAGAATCAATCACAGTCCGCCCATCATTTGAAAAATAAGACTTTAGAGCCGTCTTACCCAGAATGGCAACTAGACATTCCATTTTGGTGACTGCAACCTTGCTTTAAGGAGCCTTTTGGCCCTTAGCTTATATACCTGAGTTTCTATAACTGCCCCTGCTATAAAGCAGGTTAAAACTGCTTGAAAGCCTTCTACATGAGATGCCTCCCTCCTTGGCTTCAGGCAACTCTAACTTTTAGTGGTTAAGTGCTACTCTTGTGATCACTTTAGGACTCAATGTAATCTTTAGTCGCCAGCAGAGAAGGGACCGCAGCATATTGGTGGCTCATCTGCCTTGCATGCTGAAGTTTCCAGGTTCAATCTCTGGTGTCTCCAGTTCCTGCCTGAAACTAGAGCCACCACCAGTCAGTCTAGACAGTACTGAGCTTCATGGACCAAAGCTCTGACTAGGTGTAAGGCAGCCTCCTATGTTAAGCACAGTCTCCTGTAGTGGCATAGATAAGGTAAAGGTAAAGGGACCCCTGACCATTAGGTCCAGTCGTGACCGACTCTGGGGTTGCGGCGCTCATCTCGCTTTATTGGCCGAGGGAGCCGGCGTACAGCTTCCGGGTCATGTGGCCAGAATGACTAAGCCGCTTCTGGCGAACCAGAACAGCGCATGGAAACGCCGTTTACCTTCCCGCTGGAGCTGTACCTATTTATCTACTTGCACTTTGACGTGCTTTCAAACTGCTAGGTTGGCAGGAGCAGGGACCGAGCAACGGGAGCTCACCCCGTCGCGGGGATTCGAACCGCCGACCTTCTGATCAGCAAGTCCTAGGCTCTGTGGTTTAACCCACAGCGCCACCCGCATAAGCTCCTTGCTTATCAGAGCTGTGACACTCTAGCCTGTGTCTTGGTTGTCCAGAGAGAACTTTTAGCTGGACACACAGAGCAACAAGGCCTCAGGGACACCTGCTAGGCTGCACTAATGACCTGTGTTAATAGCTTTCATTTCTTGGAATGATAGAGATGCGCAGGGAAAGGGAAGTTTGTTAGTTATGGGATCTAGATCTATAGCCCTGTAGGCTATGGTTTAGTACTTCTGTATCAGATAAATGTCCAGTAAATAATTTTAGAACGGAGCCACAATCAACGTACCGATTTGGCTCATACTATTTTGAGTGCAGCTATAGACTCAGCTGCAGCTGCAATTCAATTATTTGAAAAGTGCAAATAATTATTTTGATTAGGTGATCACAGATGGTAGTTGAAATTTGGATAAATATTTTGCATTGCAAAGCAAATCTTTTGTAGGTGTGACTTTTTTTAAATTAAAGAAAGTAAGTAAGCATATGTTAACATTAACGGCTAATCTGTTTTCAGCTGGGTACCAGCTACCATAGCTTATACTTCTGTTTCCATACTATTGGATTCTGGAGAAGAATAAATATCTGGTTGTACGTAATCTCCTTGAGTTATATGACAAAATGTTTGTGCTAGGAAGGCTGGTTTACAGTTCATGTTGCATTTCAGAGCGCAATATGAGATCCTTTTGAGCTGGATCAGTTCAAACCTTCATCTACACCAGGGTTTCCCAAACTTGGGTCTCCAGCTGTTTTTGGACTACAAGTCCCACCATCCCCAGCTGGCAGGACCAGTGGTCAGGGATGATGGGAACTGTAGTCCAAAAACAGCAAGAGACCCAAGTTTGGGAAACCCTGGTCTAGAGAAATGGTGGACAACCACATTTCTTCCAGGTATGGAGAGCTTATTGGTTACTCAGTGGCATATTGCTTCTCTGCAGACAGGGTCTCTTTGGGTTCTATGGCCAAATAACTGTTCACAGAAAAATTGATGAAGGAGAAGTTTGTTTTTAGTCATCTAAGCTAGTGGTGGGGTTCTTCACCTTGAAGTACAGTGGTACCTTGGTTCTCAAACTTAATCCGTTCCGGAAGTCCATTCCAAAACCAAAGCATTCCAAAACCAAGTTGCGCTTTCCCATAGAAAGTAATGCAAAATGGATTAATCCGTTCCAGACTTTTAAAAATAACCCCTAAAACAGCAGTTTAACATGAATTTTACTATCTTATGAGACCACTGATCCATAAAATGAAAGCCAATAAACAATGCACTGCAGTCACACAATCAATCAATTGGTAGCTGAACTGGGTTCCACACAGTCACAAAAACAAAACAAAAGAGCCACAAAAACAAAAATGCAAAATAAATAGCAAAAACAGGCAGACCTCAATGTAACACTTGAAACCGAAGTGTGGCACTCAAATCAGAAGCGTAACACTCAAAAAGGAGCATGTTGCGTTTCCAAAAAAAGTTCGCAAACCAGAACACTTACTTCCAGGTTTGCAGTGTTTGGGTTCCACTCTACTGAATTCCATAAGTTAAGTTCCACATGTGAAGAAGAGCTGTATTTTGTCTGCTCTGAAGCTGTTGCCAAGCCATTTGGGTGACCCCAAGTTATTGTTTAAGGTAAAGGTAAAGGCACCCCTGCCCGTACGGGCCAGTTGTGTCCGACTCTGGGGTTGCGCGCCCATCTCGCTTAAGAGGCCGGGGGCCAGCGCTGTCCGGAGACACTTCCGGGTCACGTGGCCAGCGTGACGAAGCTGCTCTGGCGAGCCTGCACCAGGCCAGCGCACGGAAACGCCGTTTACCTTCCCGCTATAAAGCGGTACCTATTTATCTACTTGCACTTAAGAGTGCTTTCGAACTGCTAGGTGGGCAGGAGCTGGGACCGAATGACGGGAGCTCACCCCGCCGCAGGGATTTGAACCGCCGACCATACGATTGGCAAGTCCTAGGCGCTGAGGTTTTACCCACAGCGCCACCCGCGTCCCAAGTTATTGTTTATAATGTCATAAAAAGAGCTCTGCTGGAACAGAGTGTGTGTGTGTATGTGTGTGTGTGTGTTAACAAACTCTAATTGATTTCTAAGAGATAATTAAAAAAAAAAATCCGGTATAATTGCTGCATTTGAATCTGTATTCCTTGTTAAGATTACGCAGCGTTACCTGCCTGCTTTTACCTTATCCCTGAATTTTGGTTTGCATCCCTCTAGGGAATTTGACACCAGACCCACCTAAAATGGCTTCCTCCACAAGCCAGCCTGACCTTCTAGGCGGCTGGGATTCCTGGGCCGATGCCCCGGCAATTAGCAGTGCGGCGCCCACACCACCGAAGAAGTCCACTTTGGAAGGTATCATGCAAGGCAGTCGCTTCCTTTTATTTGGCAGCTGGCGGTATACGCAGAGCTGCCGAAACATTGTGTGTATGTGAAACACTCGGTCGCGTAATAGTCTTGGATTTTTATCAAATAACATAGGAAGCTGCCTTATACCAAGCCCATTACATAGAGTAGCAGCGGCTTTCAGACAGGAGTCTCTCCCACCTCACCCTAGAGCTTGAACCTGAGGTCTTCTGCATGCAAGGCAGATTATTATTATTATTATTATTATTATTATTATTATTACTACTACTGTTATTTATTCAATTTATATTCCCCCCTTTATCAGAAGTTCCCAGGGCGGTATACAACGTTAAAAACACATTGCAGAACATCAGTGATAGAAATGTAATATAAGCATAATAAAAAGCATACTGACAGACAGCCTAATAACTGTGGTTAGCAATGCAGCTGTCCCTGCCTTTTTCCTTCTAAAGCATTAACTGAATGTTGACAGCATACACAAGGCACAGCCTAGCATGCTTTTTTATCAGTCATATTCACCTGGGACTGGAACAATATAAAAGGAGATTGTTTCAGGTGAGTGTGTGATTCGATGTAAAAAGCACACAGATAACAACTAACACCAAAATGTAAACTTTCTTAATTTGATGAAGATTAGAGCAGGCAAGATCAAAATTCCCAAGCCCCTCTGCATTGTTAAACAAAAAGCCATATATATATATATGTATGCATATATATACACACATATACATATACATATACACATACAGATCATAGCATGCAGAAGTGTCTGTCGTAAGGAATGAACAGAAGCATATTTCATCCATTGATTGAGAAGAATGCTGAATACTGTGGCATAGCAGTATTTGCAGCCACCTATGTGATATTTTGCAGAGCGTAATAATTGTGTCTTATTACATAGGCCCGGCTTTTACGACAGGAGGACCCACAAACGCCACTTCAGGCCTTTCATTCAGTCAAGCAAAATCACAGAACTTTGACCCATTTGCTGACCTTGCTAACCTGAGAACCGGCCTTCCAGGTAAGTGTTTAAGTCACTAATAAAAGGAAGAACAGCGTTCCAGTAGAGTGTGTTTATCCTGTACATTCAGGGTGGATAATGTAGTTAAAATGCTGGAGCGGGTCTGTAAAATAAAAATGTAGTCATTTTGATACATGAGTCCTTCCTTACTTTGTTTGGTGTTTGGTTTTTTTCAGTTTACTGGGGCACCTCTGCAGGATACCCCTCTGTGCTGTGCGGCTTTCCCTCTCATCACTCCTCAAACCAGCCATGCAGAGAACATGTTCAGATCTCAGTGTTAGCTGTCACGTTTGGTGCCTGTAGGCTTTTTGTACAAGGCAACCAAAGCCCTTTAAAGTTGTGAAGTTTTTAGTTCGTGCCGTTTTTAAAGGTAAAGGAAAAGGGACCCCTGACCATTAGGTCCACTCGTGACCAACTCTGGGGTAGTGGCGCTCATCTCGCTTTATTGGCCGAGGGAGCCGGCGTACAGCTTCCGGGTCATGTGGCCAGCATGACTAAGCCACTTCTGGTGCAACGCCGCTTACCTTCCTGCTGGTGCAGTACCTATTTATCTACTTGCACTTTGATGTGCTTTTGAACTGCTAGGTTGGCAGGAGCAGGGACCGAGCAACAGGAGCTCACCCCGTTGCGGGGATTCAAACTGCTGACCTTCTGATCGGCAAGCCCTAGGCTCTGTGGTTTAACCCACAGCACCACCCGTGAATCTGAGAGATCTAGGCAGAAAGCTGAAACCGAGCAGCATCATGCCATAAGATTTGCATCCTGGCATCTGAATTTGGTTGCTTGTAAAGAAGTTATGACCGTCTTTGAGAAGTAATGCTGCGGAGCGGGGGATGCATTCAGGAACCACTACATGACTAGCTACAAGGCAAGGTTGGGGAACTTGTGGCCTTCCAAATATTGTTGGGCTTCAGTTCCCACGGTCAGTGCTGAGGGATGATGGGAGGTGTAGTCCAACGTTGCGAGGACTACAGGCTCCCCATCCATTCTTGCGACAGAAGATGCTGGCGTGCTTGTTTTGATAGGTTTAAACCAAATGGAATATCTTTTTAAATTAAAAAGCAAAACCCTGACCCTTGCTTTCCAGGGGCTTCCAGCGGCGGATTCTCAACCGGCAGTTTTGCTCCAAAGTCCACTCCCTCTCAGAAAGCAGGGAACCAATGGCAGGCAAGCAAAACGCAACCTGTTGGCACATCGTGGCAACCCCAGGCACAGCCAAAGGTGCCAGAACAAGCTAAGCCGAGTGCGCAGCCGAAAGCCAACTACACTGTGAATTTCAGTGTCATTGGAGGACGAGAAGAGAGAGGCATCAGGGCACCTGGCTTTGGTATGTTACTAAACCCGATGATGATTAATTTTTGCATATATTAATTGCTTGGCATACAAGAGTCTCCAAGTGACATACAAAATCTGAAACCATAAAGTGTGGTATGAATCAGAAAAAAAGAACAGTGCATTGCAACAGAAGCCATGTCGTTTGTTTAGTTGTGTCCAACTCTTCATGACCCCATGGACCAGAGCATGCCAGGCACTCCTATCTTCCACTGCCTCCCGCAGTTTGGTCAAACTCATGTTCATAGCTTCGAGAACACTATCCAACCATCTCGTCCTCTGTCGTCCCCTTCTCCTTGTGCCCTCCATCTTTCCCAACATCAGGGTCTTTTCCAGGGAGTCTTCTCTTCTCATGAGGTGGCCAAAGTATTGGAGCCTCAGCTTCAGGATCTGTCCTTCCAGTGAGCACTCAGGCCTGATTTCCTTAAGAGTGGATCGGTTTGATCTTCTTGCAGTCCATGGGACTCTCAAGAGTCTCCTCCAGCACCATAATTCAAAAGCATCAATTCTTCGGCGATCAGCCTTCTTTATGATCCAGCTCTCACTTCCATACATCACTCCTGGGAAAACCATAGCTTTTACTATACGGACCTTTGTTGGCAAGGTGATGTCTCTGCTTTTTAAGATGCTGTCTAGGTTTGTCATTGCTTTTCTCCCAAGAAGCAGGTGTCTTTTAATTTTGTGACAGAAGCCATACAATTTCATGACAGAAGCCATACAATAGCCTAGACAGCCAACCCAAATTAAACAGCAGCAAAAATATACCATCAGTGTACAGCAAAATCATCATAATCCATGATATACCTTGGAGAAAAGATTTTTTTGATCTAGTTGCTGCATTGGTCTGTAAAGCCCCTTTGCAGAAGATTGCATTTGCTTCTGAGTAACAGTGTGATCCCACACTTTCCCAGGTGATAGGGTTTGGATGGAATTTAAGCATGATGCATGTGGCTTCTTGTACATATATATGATTTAAGACTTTTCACTTCTGTGTCACTTACCAGTGAACTGGGAGCCTAATTCTTTTTATCTCATTTGCTAGGACAAAAACCCAAAGTTTCAGAAAACGATTTTGAGGATCTTTTGTCAAATCAAGGGTTTGCAGCTAAAACCGACAGAAAAGGACCAAAGACCATTGCTGAGATGAGAAAGCAAGAAATGTCTAAAGATATGGACCCTCTGAAACTAAAGGTTGGCTGTTCTTACACCAAATAGTTCTCATCCTGCAACTTCTGGTGTTTGGAAAAGCAGGGGTGTGCCATCTAAGTGGGGGAAGTTGAAGCATAAATGTGGAGGAGGGCGGTCCCTGGATGATGCACGGCTCTTGGTTGAGAGGGGAAAGTGGGGGCCAGGCCCTCTCGGAGGTCCCTAGCCCATGATAAAAAATAAAAAAATGAGGCTCTGTGGGGAAAAAATAAGGCACCAAACAGGAGTGGGGGTGTTTATATAATTAGTTGATCAGAGAGATTTTGGTCTAACCTTGTGCCATCAGAACTGGCATACTTTTTATTAATATTTGTGAAAATTGTAAACTCTTTAATGTAACAAAATACATTAACACATAATAATAATAATAATAATAATAATAATAATAATAATAATGTGCCTTTTACCAAGTCATGCATTTGACTTGCCTAATTTTGCAGCTGTAAACCGAATGTGCGTGTCCCTTTTTGGTCTGGTGCGCATAAAAGCGAGTCGCAAAGTTTATCAAATGCCAAGTGGCTAAAACCTGAGGCCTCTTTTGAGCTTGGGGTGCAAATCAAACGAGCCTCCTGGATTTGGCCCTAAGTGGGGCTGTAGCTCAGTGGCAGAGCACACGTGCTTGGCTTTCAGAAGGTCCCTGGCATCTCCCATCAAAAAGAGCTTTTTAAAAGGTCTTTCAAAGACCTTAAGGTGCGAAAGACACCTTACAGCGGGAGAGAGCATCTGTACTGGACCTGGTGAAGCAGTGGTCTGGAGGCATATCACTCGGCTTCAGAAGTTCAGAGTTTTCCACAACTTGGGTTTGAGTTTGAGGCAACAAGCAAGATGATACAGAGCGGGGATGTACAAGACCTCCTGCGCTTTAGGGAGTAGCAGGACTGATAGAAGATGCATGCATGTACATACACATATAATTTCACCCCCATACACACCCAGAGCTGTTGTGAGAGAGGTCTTCTTCATTTGTGCTTTATTGAGGGTTTTCTTAGGGTAAGGGACAGAAAGTTCTGTGGCTGCATTCTTCTGCATGAATAGACCTCTCTCTTCTGTTCGAAGTGAACAGGTTGAGGAGTTTGGGATTGCCTGTTTGAGCCAAAGACCTATACTTCTTGTTCATTTCATTTCACCTTTAATTTGTACACTGCCTTTCTATTTTACTATAGGCAGTTTGCAAGCCGAAGAAACAACAAAGATCGCACACCTTATAACAATCTGATGCGATACAGAAATGTCATACTAAGAACATAACTTTAAACCATTTATATCAGATAAAGTAGTATTCAGTAATCCATTAGAATACCATGGTACACAGTGAAATTAAATATCATCAAGTACTAATTAAACTGAAATTCACTCTTAACAGTTACAAGAAATATTTCTAAACTAGAATCAAATCAAAATAACAGCAAGTCGCCGTGCATAAAATAACACAATACTTGTGTTTGAACTCTCTCTCTCTCTCTCTCTCTCTCTCTCTCTCTAGATTCTAGATTGGATTGATGGAAAAGAGAGGAATATAAGAGCTTTATTATCTACTCTTCACACTGTGCTTTGGGAAGGCGAGACCAAATGGAAGCAGGTCGGCATGGCTGACCTGGTTACCCCAGATCAAGTCAAGAAGTACTATAGGAAGGCAGTGCTTGTCGTACATCCAGATAAGGTACGTGCTTCTGGCAGATTTGACAAACTGCTAGTGCCAAATTACTGCTATATTCCTAAGGTGCTGAGTGCTCCCTGCTCAAGCTGCGTAGCTCAGTTTGCCTAGAGTGTGGTGCTGATAATGCCAAGGTCGCAGGTTCGATTCCCATAAGGAACAGCTGCATATTCCTTCAGTGCAGGGGGTTGGACAAGATGATCCTCAGGGTCCCTTCCAACTCTTATGATTCTGTGATCCACTAGGTAGGTACTTCCTACCTAGAACAGCTCAACCAGAGCCTGTAGGAGGCATTGCAGAGGTCCAAAGAAATACACAATGGAACATACAGCACAACAAACATTTCAGGACTTGAGCCAGCCATGGGTCTTAGAACTGGCGGCCAGAGGGATGCTAAATGTGCTGCTGTTGCCATCTCTTAGCCAGAGTGGGGAACTGCAGGGAGATGGGCCTTACCAGCAAGGAAGGCTCTGAGGCCTGAGTAAGTTAGGTGCTTCCCTCCAACTCCTACAAGGGTATCCGGGTTACCTGCTTTCAGCTTGTGGAATGCTGCCCTCATGGAGCCTCATCTGGCACCATAATTACTTGCCTGAAGATGCCAGACAAAAACATTTCCTTTCTTCCAGGCGTTTTGGCGTATAATTATCTGTGACTGCCTTCAGTGGGTGGGATGTTTTGATCCTGCCTTTTTAAAAATATGAATGATTTTTAGATTTTTCTCTGATTTGATTTATATCAGTTTTAACATGTATTGTTTATTGTTGTAAGTTATTTTGAGGGACTTTGTGCTAATAAGTTTAATAAATAGCAACAATAGCTTCCTTAAACGCTGTGATCTAATAATAAGCATCTGGCAAGTGCAGTCTTTCTAGGAATTGCTTTTACCTTCTATTTTTGTTTTTTTGACACTGTCCATATCCATTTCCTGTTCTCTGTAAGCTGCATAGAAGTTTCATTTACCTATCTGCAGTTTACAAAAAGCAGTATATAACATTTTAAAAAAATAAACAAACTTTGTACAGTGTCTATTACAGCTGGGCACAATTCCTGAATCCGCTCTGTGGCAGCACACTCAGCAGCTTACAGAAGCTTTGCAGATAAGCCCCTAACTTGGTTCCCCAGCTGTTGTTGGACTACAAATCCCATCATCCTTAGCTAGCAGGACCAGTGATCCCGAGGATGTTGGGAGTTGCAGTCCAGCAACAGCTGGGATGTCACGGAATTCTGTTCAATATTGAACCAGAGCAGATTCCAATGTATCGTTAGCAGAGTAAAAACTTAAACACGTTGCATGGTTCCCAAAAAATAGACCATCCAGCAAAGCTTTACTGCTACTGAAGGCAAATGGGCATATTGGTCACAAATCCAATACATTCAGGATTGGCACTGTCCATAAAAAATCCAGTTGCAGCAGACTTAACTTAAACTTACAATAACGTATAAGACTAAACCTTATATAGCATGCTATGTACAGAACACCACACCAGAAGGTAAAGAGATAGAAAGAGAAAGTGAAACCCAGGCTCCTTCTGGCCTTTCTTTTATAGTCAGCATGACCTTGACAGAAGAGATAAGAGAACCACTTAAAGCCAGCTGCACTCAGCTTCTCTGAAGGAATAACCCAAACATCATGTACCTTCTGCTTGTTTCTTTCACACAGAGAAGCTTCCAGAACCCTCTTGAATTAATTAGAATAGGAAACACCAGATCAGTACTTTCTGCACTAAGAAATGCAAACTGACATGGAAAGCCAAGTCATAAATACTGCCCTAAACATTACCAGCCTGCAAATAAATAAATAAATATAAGCCTGCAAGGGGGCTTGTAGCAGCAGCTAGCTACATCCCTATGCTGGATTTAGAGGAGATTCCCCTCCTCCTGGCAGCCTGGCTTGTTAAGAGAAGGACTGGAGAGCTCTGTTCCTCCTCCGCCAGCCTGCCTTGGAACTGCATGGCATTTCTGGTTGCCTATGGCGACAGTGCAAGTGTTTAACATGAGGCTGGCATATTTTCTCCACAGCATCACTACCTCATAGCAAGCAACAGCTTGAGCTGGTTAGATAAGGTGTGTTATTGTTTCCCTCTGTAATGTTGTTGTTGTTGTTTATTGAGTTTATATACTGCCCTATAAGGGACGCGGGTGGCGCTGTGGGTTAAACCACAGAGCCTAGGACTTGCCGATCAGAAGGTCGGCGGTTCGAATCCCCGCGATGGGGTGAGCTCCCGTTGCTCGGTCCCTGCTCCTGCCAACCTAGCAGTTCAAAAGCACGTCAAAGTGCAAGTAGATAAATAGGTACCACTCCAGCGGGAAGGTAAACAGCGTTTCCGTGTGTTGCTCTGGTTCACCTGAAGCGGCTTCGTCATGCTGGCCACATGACCCGGAAGCTGTACGCCGGCTCCCTCAGCCAGTAAAGCGAGATGAGCGCCGCAACCCCAGAGTCGGCCACGACTGGACCTAATGGTCAGGGGTCCCTTTACCTTTATACTGCCCTATACCCGGAGGTCTCAGGGTGGTTCGCAGAAAAAAACACAACTTATATAATCAGAATAAAAACAACAACCCAATAACTACCCCCCTCCTCTGCAAAGGAGCCACATTTTTAAAGGGCATAGGATGTCAAACAGATCAACCAAAGGCCTGGTTTAAAAGGAATGTTTTTGCCTGGTGCCTAAAGGTGCATAATGAAGGCGCCAGGCAAACTTCCCTGGGGAGAGCATTCCACAGACAGGGAGGCACTGCAGAGAAGGCCCGTTCTCGTGTTGCCACCCTCTGGATCTCTCAAGGAGGGAGGCACACGAAGGAAGGCCTCAGAAGATGATCTCAGGGTGTGGGTAGGTTCATATGGGAAGAGGCAGTCCTTGAGGTATCGCGGTCCTGAGCCGTTTAAGGCTTTATAGGTCAAAACCAGCACTTTGAATGGGGCTCGGAAACTAATTGGTAACCAGTGCAGTTGGACCAGGATTGGTGTAATATGCTCAAACCGTGTTCCTTCAGTGAGCAACCTGGCCGCTGAATTCTGCACCAGCTGAAGTTTCCAAACTGTCTTCAGAGGCAGCCCTTTTCCGGCGGGGGGCCCGGGGGGGGGTCTGCTTTCCTTTAATGCAGCTGTTACAGGCAACTGTCACTTGACTCTTGAGAATGTTCAGTTGGTGGTGGAAGGATTACGTGGAGCCTTTCTGTTGGGATAGCTCACTCTGTAGCTCATTCTTGGTGTTGCGGGTTCGAGCCCCATGTTAGGCAACAGATTCCCGCCTTGCAGGGGGTTGGACTAGATGACCCCGCAGTCCCTTCTTCCTCTACAATTTCATGACTCTTTGATTCTAAGCCTAGCAATTGATGCAGAAGAGGCAGGCAAGGTGTTTTGCTATCTTCCATGCCAAGACTTCTGACCAGACACTCCCAAGTCTGGGAAGGGGCGGACTGTTCGTACATTTGCATCCTGGCTGCAGAATTGCTGTGTTGGCAGCAACACAGGATTCTTGCTCAGCTCATGTTTGGAGTGAAAACACCCACGTTTCTTGTAACTCCTGCTCTGTTTTGCTTCCTTGCAGGCCACGGGGCAACCTTACGAACAATACGCCAAAATGATCTTCATGGAACTGAGCGACGCGTGGTCAGAATTTGAAAACCAAGGATCAAAATCACTTTTCTAAGATGCTCCCTTTTTGAAAGCGGGGGTGGATTTCAAAATGTATTTGCAGCAAAAACCGAATCTTCCGAGTGCTGTTCTAGTGTCGCCTCCTTGGATCGAGGAGGGGAGGGGGGCAGGGAACGCTTCCCGGTTCTTGCACACTTTGAATCTATACACTCTCACAAACAGGGTGTGTCTTGTAGGACACAGCGCACAGATGGCACTTTGGGTCCATCGACACTCGGAAGGTGGTGCCCTGAGAGTGGAAAGTTCCAAGCCATCTGAGAGAGGGTTTGAACACACGTGTAATTTTAATGATGGCGGCTAGCGTGGGCAAGATTTTCTGTGGGAAGCATCATCCATTTCAAATCCCTTTTGTGTGTGTGTGTTTTTGTGTTCCCTTCGTTTGAGGAAACACCCAACCTCAATTTGCATTTCTCTTTCCCCCTCTATGTAGTCTTTATGATTTGTCTTGGTTGTTTTTTTGTTTTTGTTTTCCCCTTTTTAAATTTACATGTTTGCCTTATTCAAAGTGCTTTAGTTTACCTTATCAGCTGTGAGTTTGCTCAGCATCTCTTTTCTGGTTTCTGTGCGAGGTGTACATTTTTCTTTGGTATTTCATGTAATCATTCCGGTAATCATTCTGTAAATAATTAAAACATTTTTTTCTGACAACACCTGCGTTCCTTACACTGCATCAACAGTAGCTTAGCCAAAACGGTCCCATTGGTGGGGAAGAAAAGACACGAATGAATCTTTGATGTGTTTGTGGTCCCCCCCCCAAAAAAAACAACCCCATATGTAAAGATGGAAGCAGAGTTTGGCTTTAATTTAAGGATTGCATGGTCTTGTCTTATTTATTATGATCTCCTTTGAGGCAAGACTGTTTAAATATTTATTCCAAAATGTTTGTTTGAAATTATATATATTTGAATTGCCTTCTACTCTCCTTGATGGTATATGTGCCTTTTGTTGGCATAATTGAATTATTAAGTTGGTAGGTTGACGCATAGGCTGAGACTTGGAAATGTGAGCCCAGTGGTTTACTTTTTTTGCTTTTGATAGGCTGAACAGAATATGTGTTGCATCACGTAGCTGCATTGGAAAGGTGTGTGTGCACTTTTTGCCAACCTGGGTCAACTTCCCCTCACGTGTTTGGAAGCCTGTTGGTTCTGCAATTTCATGCGCGTGGATCAAACAACAGGATGATGATCTATGTACTGTCTTGAAGCCTTGACATATCCCTGAATATACCGGCTAGTTCTATGGTAAAGGAAAATACGCTATTTGCCCGGTGATTGGTCTCGCCTATAAAATGAAGAATTGAGCACAATATTCTCTGCTGAGCATCAAGACCAGCTCTGTACTCAATCAGCAATATGGTGTCTAGGTTGTGGTGGCATCTTTTCAATATACCGTGTAGCTTTCAGGTGGATTCCACTTTTAAATCTGTCTGCGAGCCATCAAGGTTTATTCAGTCTGGTTCTGCCACAGAGGAGAATTCTGCCATTGTTATGGAGTAGTGCTTTTTCTGGCAAGCAGCTTTCTGATCAAAGTTGGTACAGAGTTAGACCTCTCCTTCTATCCTTCCACCCACGCTGCAGCAAACAGAGACCTGCCAGATTACATGCGAATTCTATAGTATACTCAGTCAGCGCTGCTCCATTCTGTAGAGAGTGGACTTGGAGGAGGCAGGGAAGAAATGTACTTTGGGATGCAACCTGAGCGATCAAACTCAGTCACGCAACGTGTCTGTCAGCCTGGGGAAGATGCCCAAGCCCAAAGAGATAAATCTTGAAGCAGAGAATGTGTATGAGTTACAACTTTTTGAAAAGAATTTCCTCCCCCCCCCTCAGGTGTGAAACTGCAGGTATTTTTTCCTTGTGCTTTATAAGGCCATGGAAAGGCTGATCAAGTGTGTGGCCATTTCTTGGCTGTCTCCAAAATAGCATGCGTAAGCTAAACTCCTCTTTATTGACTCATAGTTCACACCTACACACTTAGGTAGGCCTAAGTGAATCAAGCAGACGATTCAGCCTGTAACTGGTAGTCATACGTGATGTAGGTGTGAAAAATAAATGGGATTGCGCTTCACTTGGGGGTAGTGAGACACTGATTATCTGCTTTGTATGCACAAGTGACATCGTTGCTGAATAGGCTCTGAGCTTAGCTATGGGCCTGTCTATTACGTGCAGCTGAAGCAACATGGGAGTTGTGGAGACAGGCTACAGTAAGCTGCTGGGGTGGAGGGAGAGAGTAGGCCCAGTAGAAGATTCCATGCAACTTCAGTTTTTGTGGCCCTTCATTGTTTAAGCACCCCTCAACAGAGTTTCTGTTCTTAACCTTGATCAGACCAAAATTTTATCTTGGGAGGCGTTTGAAACCACACTTCCTAGATTCAGTCCACAGGGTTGCTAACACAGCTTTTGGATATAAACCTGGATCTTGAGTCATGCAATTTCTGAAGAAACCGAGCGGCAGAATTGGCCACGTGGCGGAGAGATCATTAAGAAGGGGCAGAAAAGTTGTACGTCGATGGCGGCCCAGCCCTTTACGTTAGCAGTGGCGGCAGCAACAAGGAGAAAACATGCCGATATCTTATACCTATCCAATTTGGCAGAACAAATTCAGAGGGCACCGCAGTTCATGTCACACTCTGCTTTTCCCAATTAGATAGATGCCCTTCTGTTTCTGCTTTCGCGAGAGAATTCTGCTTTGGGTGATTGGACTGAAGAACAGCATTTCATCTGTCGTATTTGGATGTGCCTGGTGTCCAAACCCCAGTCTCCCTGTCATCTCTGCTGTGGACATGGGCATAAATCTTGTGTGCAGTCAGCATCGCATACAGATGTGCTTTTTTAATGTGTTCCTTGCATCTGGTGCTTTGTGATCAATCCACCTCAGTAGTCTCTAAGCGGCTACATTCACTCAAGAGGCTGGTTCCTTCGATAATGACTCCAGTTATGGACACAGACTTCAAGCCTGTCGTATGGGACCAGTGTCTATTTTTTAATTGTTTGTGTCTCTCAGAATGATGGGAGAAGGGGTGTGTTTGTGCATGTGTGAACTAGACATTTCAATAAACACAGGTTTGTTGTTGAAAAGGCAGCCCTGTGCTAGGTTCCTCCCCTTCTGTAATCAGGAGCAAAATGATTTCCTCTTGTCTTTCTGTGTGTCTCCTCACCAGCCAATGATGTAGGAGAGAGAAGTACACAGTGTGATGTCAAAATATTGGCAAGTTTCTAACAACACAATATTAGGAACTCGATGCTTCCAGTTTCAATGGCTGGTCCTTCTTCAAAGAGTGACTTCCATGTTACTCCTTCCCATCTTGGTTCCTCTCAAAGAAAAAACAGTTATGGTGACACCTGTGTGAACCATCTTAAAGTAAGGACAGAACTTCCAGGATATTTTTAGGATGATCTCAACAACAGTGAGGACTACAGATTTCCCTCCACATCCTGCCCCTCTTCCAGTCTCAGCCCTCAACTCAGAACTCTGCGGAACGTTTTTAGAAGCAGTTGATATTCTCTTCCACCCCCAGCGCTTTTATAAATGTTATAGAATGGGTGTGTTTTGTAAGAGTTCCACAGCAGTTCAGAGTTTCGTGGCTGCATGAAAGGAGCATAGATCATGCCATTTGGGTGAGGGAGAACACATTTTTCATTTAAAGGAAAATCCATTGTTTGAGATGCTGCAGCTCCAGTGTATTGCTTTATTTTGATAAAGTGGTTGGGCTGCTAGACCAGATGTGAAGAGTTGTTTTGCACCTTTGGTGGTGGGTGGAAATATATAGTGCAATCTGCATTGAGCACTTGGGAAAGAAGTACTCTAAATGAGATGAATATTGCTCTGTCCGTGTTAATGGTTCTTTTACAAAGCAATGTGAGATGAAAGGCAGGTTCCTTGCCCTAAGATGTCTGCAGTCTGAATTTCAGTAGTAAGAGAGGCATTAGGAGAATGGAGAAAGGGAAGCGTAATAAGTGGGAGTACAGTCTTTAATTTTGAAAGAAGGCCTCATTTTGGCTCTGGTATATTATTGTAACACGGTATAAAAATAAAATATGCTTTGAAACAATGGGCAAGGAGTGAAATTTTCAATTTAAGTTTTAACAGTTTTATACTTCTCTGACTATTTTATTTTAAGGCTGCCTATATTGTGGCTTTGGTAAAATACAAATCTATTTAAATGTTACCAACTGGTGTAAATGATGTTTATTTTAAACAACCCTAGTGTTACAAGGGATGGAAGAAAGGTGGATTTTATATAAGGGAGTTAGAAGTGGAGGTGTGCATCTGCGCTTAAGTATCCCCAGTGTCAACAGACTGGTTTCGGATGCTTGGCGTGCCTACAGGGTCTTCCCTGGAGCCAAAAGCAGTTCTGAACTTCTAGGCTATGTTAATGCCTCTTTGAATTAAGAGCCAGTTGTCACAACTCCTCCCTGTTGTCTAAAGGAAAGTTCATTTCTAATATGGCTACTGAGGACCCTTGATGCAGCAGTCAAGACTCTCACTCGCTCCTATGATTTCTGTGGGATGTACATGCTGTGGGTACTGTATGTGTTTGGAGGTCACAGTTTAGCATAAGACATTGCCATGACACCAAGACTCTTGGTCCATCTTGTCCAGTGTTATCTACTCTGTCTGGTATCACCTCCCCTGGGGCTGTTCCATCACCTGCTCCCTGACTCTTTCTTAACTGCATTGAACATTAGACCTCCTGCATGCCAAACCTTTGGTTTACCGCTGAGCTACGGTTTCCCTGCCCACTGGCTGAATCGCAGCCACTGCGGCCTAGCAAGTCAGCTCCAGCTGTACAAGAATAGCTTTCTCAACATGGACTCGTGGAGATCAGTGGGGCTCTGGGCAATCTGTGAAATGGGCAGATTGGGGGTGAGAAACCACACTTTCTCTACAAGTCATGGGAGGAACATAGAATTGTAGTGTTCGAAGGCAACCCATCTAGTCCAGGCATGGGCAAACTCCGGCCCTCCAGATGTTTGGGACTACAATTCCCACCATCCCTAGCTAACAGGACCAGTGGTCAGGGATGATGGGAATTGTAGTCCCAAACATCTGGAGGGCCGGAGTTTGCCTATGCCTGATCTAGTCCGACCCCCTGCAATGCAGAACTATGCAGCTGTCCCATACAGGGCTTGAACCTGCAACCTTGGCGTTATCTGTGCCTCGCACTAACCAGCTGAGCTACCCAGGCTCTCCATGTCAAGTGTTGAGTGAAGACTGCTATGCTTTTCTCTCCCAGCGGCAGTGCGGCATCAAAAGGAATCGCTCAGACCACAAAGCCCCAAAATGGTATTTCAGACTATAATGTTAAAGCCTGATATCTCTAGCTTTTTGTCTGATTTCAGAGCTGCTTCCCCCCCCTTTTTTTAAAAAAAATCCATTTCTTCCTAAGGTTCTTTTGGATTAAGAAAGGGGAAGGGGGAGAGAAAGCTGCCCAACATATTGATCAGTGGTCCAATCCTGCAAAACACTTCCAGTTTTGCTTTCCCCATGGCATTATCCACTTTTCACCACATGGGGGTGTTTCATAGGAACAAGTAACCACAAACGTATAGATTGAGTTAGATGCAGTGCTACCGCATATCTGATTTTAAAAAATTCTCTTGGCTTTCTTTTCTTTAGCAAGCAGGCAGTCTTGCTTATATGTAGCTGG